GCCTCTTCCGGATGTCTTGTTACCTAAGAAACATTAAACCCCTGTTGGGTTAAGTCACTGGTAGTTGGGTTTCTGTTTCATGAAGTGGAACCAAATCTATGAGTCCATGAGGATGTAAATACATAGCTGAATAAAAATAAAGGGAGGAGAAACAACTCTTCTTTATAGAACAATTACAATCAGTAAATATAGAAAAAAAAGTGTGAAAATTAGAAAAGTACCATTCAAGCACTGCGGTAATAACTGCTGCAGGCATGATCCACCAATGAATACTGAAATCAGTGAGTAAGTATTTAAGCAGAAACAGGAATTTTGCATTGTCTCAAAGTATCTTCCCCCAAGTACCTACATATATTAGAAAGGGAAAATTTTAAATTTACAGTAGATCAATGAGGCAATATCCTGTACCCTCTGATCTGAGGCACAAACATGTGTGGCTTCTGTGATATTCTTTTGCCAAAAATGGGTAACTTCAATCTAATCATGAGAAAAAAAATTAGATAAATGCAGATGGAGATACACATGGCAATGCAAAATTGGCAGAATTTCATTCTTCTTTATGTGTGAGTGATACCCCGTTGTATGTATGTGCTGCATCTCTATCTGCTCACCTGTTGGTAGACACTTAGGTTGCTTCCACATCTTGGCTATTGTAAATAATGCTGCTACGAACACTGGAGTGCATGTATCTTTTAAAATTATTGTTTTCATTTTCTTCCTATATATATCCAGGAGTGGAATAGCTGGATCATATGACAGATTGAAGGCAGGAGGAGAAGGGGACGATAGAAGATGAGATGGTTGGATGGCATCACCAGCTTGATGGACATGAGTTTGAGCAAGCTCCAGGAGTTGGTGATGGACAGGGAAGCCTGGCGTGCTGCAGTCCATGGGGTCAAAAGGAGTCGAACACGACTGAGTGACTAACTGACTGACTGATGCCAGTTCTATTTGTAGTTCTTTGAGGAACCTCCATACTATTTTCTATAGTGGTTGTACCCATTTACATCCCCGCCAACAGTGTGCTAATGCTCACCAACATTTACCTGTGGTATGCTTGATGATAACCATTCCGACAGGTGTGAGGTGATAGCTCATTGTGGTTTTGGCTTGTATTTCTCTGATGATCAGTGATGCTGAGCATCTTTTCATATGCCTGCTGGCCATCTGTGCTTTAGCCTTAGAGTCTGCACCATACAAGCACAGCTCAGGGCGAGCCCGTGGTTTGGGAAGTTTAAACACAGATGTGGGCTTCCCTGGTGGCTCAGTGGTAAAGAGTCTGCCTGCACTGCAGGAGACCTGGGCTGGATCCCTGGGTTAGGAGGATCCCCTGGAGAAGGGCATGGCAACCTGTTCCAGTATGTTGTCTGGAGAATCCCCGGGGACAGAGGAGCCGACAGGCTGCAGTCCCTGGGATCGCAGAGTCAGACCTGACTGAGCGGCCAGGCAGAACGCAGCGCACACAGAAGGTGGTGCTTGCTTCCTTTGGTTCTCTCGTTCAATAATCCTCTCCCTTTGCAGCTACTGTGGTTCTTCTAATTTCTATCTTCCAATTCAACAAGGAAGATTCAGGCTTTATAACTGGGTCTAATCTGCACGTGACACGCTGTGGCCTGCTCTGAGTGTAAAAGCCGTAAAAACGGGAAATGCACAGTACAATTCCCTTCATAGGATAGCATTTCCAGTATGTCCCCGCTTCTCTCTCTCTCTGATGTCGTCAACATGGTTATTTTAATTGTATCTAGAGTTGTTGTCTGGGCAGTCAAAAGAAGGTACTTCCCCATTATCAGAACTTGAAATCTACACATGCATTTTATAATCATAAATGCATTATTTAAAAAGTAATTTCTTAGTGAAAAGTCCAGCTTCTTCATGCTCCATTTAATTTTTAAAAAAAGCAAATTAAAACTTAAGGATTGAATATTTTATCAGTATGTTCAGTAGTGTTACAAATAAAATATCCAATTAAAAATAAATTTAAATTTAAAAAATCAAAACGAAATAAAATAGACACTGTCTTTTCTGAACTCTACTATGCCTCAAGGAAATGTCCACTTATCAAATGAAGAAGCAGAGAATCAGAATTATGACTCCATGTTGAGATAAGAATTTGGAGGCTAGAGTGAAAGATAATACAGTAATATAAAATGAGGAAGCAAGGGATAAACAAATCGTAGAAAGTATATTTTGAGTTTTGATGTGCAGTTCAACCCTCCTGTGACACTTCTCTCCCTCTGACCCTGAGGATCCAGAGCTGAGAAAAGCAAAATCTGGCCAGAGGGACCTGGAGTCAATTGTTCCTCATTTTCTCATCTGTAAAATGCACAGAGGCCCCTTCCAAGCTTTCAAGTTCTAATTCTGAAAGAGGCTAGAAACATACCAAAATGAGAAGGGGTTTTAGTTTTCAGGGGGAGGTTTGCTTGTTTCTTGGTCCCTTTTTTTTTTTTTTCCCACAATGGTGGCACTCAGTGTACATTTTTTAAAACTAAAATTTTGCCTCTCTGTTGGCATTTGCTGAGTAAAAGTGAATTTACAAATTTTTTAAAGGCAAGAATTAGAGACCAAAAATGTTGAGGTTAGACCTCTTCAGAGACATAGTTTGGCACATTCTGCTGGGTAGGGTTAAAAGTATTCGTGTACAGAAACTTGCATTGCAGTTTCTTATTTTGTTGTTGTTTAGTTGCTAAGTCATGTCCAACTCTTTGCAACCCAATGAACCTAGCACGCCAGGGTTCTTTGGCAGCTTCTTATTACTTTCCCAAAATGATTTAAAGGAACTGTTGTCAAAATTATTTACATCTGAATTCAGTACCATACCAGGTGATGTTAGTAGGAATTTAGCTGTCAATCCACTATCATTGAAGGGGCATAGGACGTGACTTGGGTAATGTCATTTTTTAAACTTTTTAAATTTTTGACTGTGCTGGGTCTTCATTGCTGTGCCGGCTTTTCTCTGACTGTGGCAGGCGGGGGGCTTCTCTTTGCGGTGGCCTCTCTGGTGCTGAAGCAGAGGCTCTAGGTCCACGGGCTGGGTAGTTTCAGCACACGGGCTCAGTAGTTGTGGCTCCTGGGCTCTGGAGCTCAGGTTCCGTGGTTTAGGGGCTGCTAACCCTAAACCCTGAATGCAGGCTCAGAAGTTTCAGGGGCTCAGTTGTGCCACAGCATGTCGGATCTTCCTGTATGAGGGATTGAGCCCAGGTCTCCCGAAATGGCAGGTAGATTCTTTACCAATGAGACCACGGAAGCCCAGGGTAACTTCATTTTAACACACATAAATAAACCTCAGAATGTGTTTGCATTTTGTATGGAGGAGTCTCTGTTTGAACTGTCTCTGTAACGTGTACAACAATCACCGCTAAATTTAGAATAACCTTAGCTGTCTCGAGAAGGCCTGGGCACTAGGCACTTTCTTTCCTCCCTCTCCCTTCCTTCATTTTGGGTCACAAAAGGTGGAATGTTTATTTACATTTTGATACATATATGTGATGATCCAGGGCTTCCCAGGTGGCTCAGTGAAAAAGAAATCAGCCTGCCAACGCAGGAGACAGTTTCCATACTTGATCCGGGAAGATCCCACATGCCTCGAAGCAAGTAAACCGGTGAGCCACAACTATTAAGGCTATGCTCTGGAGACCCTGGAGCTGGTGCCCCACAAGAGAAGCCGCCACAGTGAGAAAGCCAAACGCTGCAGCTAGAGAGTGGCCCCCACTCACTGCTGCCAGGGAAGCAGACAAAAAAACAAATCATTAAAAAAGAAAAAAAATAGCAAACAGGCATTCGGCTCGCGCCATTTTCCAGTCTACCTGGCAGTTTGGTGTGGCTTTGTGACCTGAGTTTTGCTGATGAAATGTGCTCAGTGATGGGCACCACTCTATTGCCCTACAAAACCCTGGGTCTGGAGCAGCTCTCCCCTTCTGCTGGCTGGATGCAGATGGCAGGCCCAGGAGATGGTGGGCCCACAGGATGAAAATACGCCTTGGGCCCCCGAAAGATCGTGTGGAGCAGGATTACCCTGCTCACCTCTGCAGCTATCGTACAAGTTAGGAAAAATTAACTTTTTGTCTTAGCCTCTTGAAATGTAATAGAGTAATTATTTACAGCCTAGCTGAACCTAAACACTCTAAGCACCCCTGTGATTTGTTGTCACTCAGTCTTTTCTCTACTTGGTGTTTGCATGAGTTCACATGTAGCTCTCTATTTTTGAAAATGCTGCGTCTGTGCTGGGTCTTCGTGGCTGTGCACGGGTTTTCTTCAGCCGTGGTGCGGGAGGCCCGCTCTAGCTGTGCTCACGGGCTCAGTAGTTGTGGAGCGTAGGCCCAGTTGCTCCATGGCATGTAGGATCTTCCTGGACCAGGGATCAAACTCATGTCCCTTGCATTGGCAGGCAGATTCTTAACCACTGCCATAGGGAAGTGCCACATCTCTTGTAAGTACATTTCTATGTTATTATATAGTCTTCATAATGTAATGGTTGCAGAGTAGCTGGTTAAACTATAATTCCTTAACCATTCTATTGTGATGTTTAGTTTGCTTATTTTTTCTTCTACTTTAAATAATGCTAAACATTTTTATGCAGAAGCCAGGCTTCCCTGGTGGCTCAGAATGTAATGAATCAGCCTGCGATGCAGGAGACAGGAGACACAGGTTTGATCCCTGGGTCAGGGAGATCTTTTGGAGAAGGGAATGGCTACCCACTCCAGTATTCTTGTCTGGGAAATTCCATGAACAGAGGAGCCTGGCACTATTGATGTGCTCATTTCCTTAGACACTGAAAGCAAAACAATTGTTACAAATTCTTAATAGTATAAACATATCAATTTGAGTTTTTAAAAATTTCTCCTTTCATTTCACGTTTGTCACTACTGAGGTTGAACACTTGTCCATGTTTGTTAGTTGTTCCTCCTCTTTTGAGAAGTTTATGTCCTACTATCTATCAGAGTCTACATTTCCTGTAGATTTTAATAATTTTAATACTCGTAGATATTACCAAGAATCAATCATCCAAAATCTCAGAAATCATTTTATTGTCAGAACAAATATTAAGGCACAAAAATACGTCAAGTTTTTTTCAAATAAAAATCTTTGAAATAGTTTTGTGCTACATTCAAAGCAACGTCTTCCAAATTATACAATAATTTAATTTCTTAAATAAAAAATATACAACTTTAGCCCCTAAATTTTCTTCCCAAATACATGCTTTCCTAGTTCTAAAGAAGTTTCTTCTTGAGCTCCTATGTTATAATATACATGTCTTTAAATCTCCTTTTGTCACTTAAATACATTCTTTAGTACTCTGACCAATACATTAAACTTCTTTCTTATAAGGCGTGGTGTTTTACATTGCTTATCACCCGTTGTTGATCATACCAAGACACAAGTTCCAACACTAGGGGCTTATAAAGCTAGTATAACATGTCTCATAAACCAGTTATGTATAGTCTAGTGCAGCAGACTCAAACCCCTTTTTAAAAAAAGATATAAAAATCAATCACATGTACATCTTTTATATCTTCAGTCTTCACATTATAGTAGTGCAAATATACTGTGTTAGAGTGGGGAAGTCTAGTACTCTCTATAGGATATGTGAACGATTTTAAATATTTTCTTCACAGGAAAAGTGTAGGAACATCTTATCTCTTGGGCTCAAAAAATTCACACATTCATCTATTTTTCCTTATTTTTGAAATGAACTTTCCTTGAAAGCAGATACTAATATTCCTCTAACTTAAAACATGAAAATTCCCTTTTAAGCCAACTTCATACATAACAGAAATCTAACACAAATGGCACAGTAAGAACACTTAGGCATTTTGCCTAGAAACACAAAGAATTGGACTCTCACCCTCAGATCCCTGCAATCATAGGGAGACCCACCCTGATGGCATCCTAAGAATAAATTGGTGTGGCAGCCTCAAAGACCCTGGCCACCAGTTTCTGGAATCTTTGAGCAGAAGCAATGGTGATGAGCTGTAACAGTGTTCCAGACTGTGACTTCTCCCCGGGGGTCCTTCACAAGATCTAAGGCTACAGTTCTGGGGCGCCCCCTCCTGGCCACGTGACGGGGCCAAGAAGGCCCTCTGATACCTGATTCAGGCTGAGTCATCAGTAGACAACACACTGACCACTGAGGGTGACACACACAGTGTATATCCTTTGGAAAACACTTCTGATGAGGTTATCAGGAGAAAATACTGCTTTCTGAGATGATGAGGAAAGTCCACATTCTGGTGCGCAGCTGAGCTATGCAGGCACAGCATTATTGGCCTGCCAGATGCAGAGAGAAGTGTTTTCATCAGCACTATCCAGGTTACGTCAGAGGTGTTCACCCTTATCACTGCACACTTCCACTGACTCCGTACTCACACTCCACCACCTCTGCGGCTGGAAGCCCAGGACTCTGCATCTCAAAATCCAACTGGAGCCGTATGCGTTGGGGATCAACCTGCTTCAAAATCTGGGGAGTGGTATCAGATACAAATGTCAGGAACAAGGAGGAAATGGTCACCTCCAGCTCGGAAACAACTGGGCTGAGCACAAAATATACACCGCGATCAGAATGGACACAAACGCTGGGAAGCACCTCAGGTGGAGTCCATTACTGCGGCAGAAACGGAGACAAGGAAGGGAACCTACATTGTCAGACATTCTTTTCTTGGGAAGGATATCCCAAAGCAAAAGCATGATGAAAGCCACACCTTTCTCAGTACAACAGGGTCCAACATTCACTACTGAAAATACAGCTGAAAGTACCTTTCAAGAGGCATTACTACTAGAAATCTTTTTTTTTTTAAACTAACCCCTATGAAATGAGTAAATGAGAAACCAATTCAAAAGTTAGGCTTTTGAAACAAACCATTTTGTTCTGTGGCTTCACTATGGGAAAGAAAAAAAAAAAGGAAGGTTATAATTCAAGTGTTTGTACTAGTTAAGACTTTGATGCTTCTTTATCAAAAACTCTGAAGTCATCCTCAACTCCACAAGGTTAGAACTCATTCAAAGAAAGAAACAGAAGAGTCTAACTTTAATTCCTATTCTAAATATCCACTAGTCCTGTATCTTTGGTCAGGAAAGCAGCAAAACAGCTACCATTTCTGTCACACTGTTTCCAATGGCTTTTCAAGTTTAGCATGCTCTGCATTAAAAAAAAATTTTTTTCTAAATTTTCAAATCACACATTACATATATAATAAAATAATGTATAAAATGTCATTTAAGGTTAAAAAATTAATTACAAGATTAATAGTGATATACTTACTATACAGTTAAATACATGTATTATTACAAAAACCAAACATGCTAGGATGATATAGAAGGTTCTAGTTTCCTCAAGGCTCACTGGTAATGAGCCTCCCAGCTTGCTTGGGAGGAAGCGCTCCAGTGGAACCACGTGGCCAGGTGACCCCACCTGTCCCATTGCAGATTCAGCAGCAGCACGTTCACATCTGGCCTAAGGGAGGGGACAGGCGGAGCAGATTTTCAGAAGGGACCTCTCTCTCCGTGAACTGTGTTCCCCTGAGCTCAGAGATCAACGATTTGATGTGCATGGTGTGAGCTGCACCCAAGGCCTTTGCACAGACCTGTGCACACACACACATCACACCCAGAGCAAGACTACCCATATATACATCCTCATGTTCCAACATTAATCGAGTTTCACTTACTGGGTTGGCAAAAGAGTTCGTTCAGGTTTTCCTGTAACCTCTCATGGAACAAATGAACTTTTTGGCCAACTCAATATTACCAAATCACTTCAGCATGAAAGTCAAAGAGAATTATTATTGTAACTTATAATTATAAACCCAATAGATGGAGACACTGCTTTAACCACATCTCAGAAGAATCATATCACTGTTTTGAAGCTCAGCAGAACAACAGGAACGTTGATGTAATGTAAGTTATTTTAAATTGTCATATTTTTCAGGAAAAAAAAAAGAGAGAACCCACATGCCCAAATCCACATGTCTGCCACCCATCAGCTAAGGGTAGTTGGGACTCTATCTTTATTACAATACTTCTCTCAGATCATTGCCAAGTAGGCAATTTAATGGACATGAAACTGGCACTCAAGGGTCAGTTTAAAAAGGGTTACAGAACCCTTCTACCATCTGAATTCTTAATTTTCATACATAGATTTCCAAGATGATGCAGTAAAAACTTGTTGCACTATATCAAAACAAAGTTCTCTTTTAGTCTTGAGGAAGTCCTTCATCATTACATAGGTTTCATTTATATGGGTTCCATCACATTATTTTTTCAGAAGAGAACATTTTTTCTGCCATTTCAGATCTGGTCATAATTTCCTTTAAAAAAAAAGCAGGGGGGGGAGGAGATATTCATCAAAATCTTGATGCTTCTTCCAAGACCTAACACAATTCTCTACAGAGTCACTATAAAGTAGTCACAGTTTTGTGCCTTCCATGCCACAATATACAAATAAAAACCATATAATCCAGACTTCTACTTATGGAGTATAATCATCCAGGTATTTGTCTGACTTTACCAGTTTCTGTATTTTTGAAATTAGAAATCAATCATTTATCAAATGAATACCACAAATGCCCCTTTAAGAGTAATTCCATGGTATATATGTCTGTAGTTATAAATCCTGGAGTCCGAAGGTCTTTTTTGGCGGGGGAGGGGGGGACGACACACATAATTATTGACAGTTGTTTTTTTTTTATTGGAAGACAGTTGCTTTCCAATGTTGTGTTGACAGAGAACAGACTTACGGACACAGGGGTGGGCGGGGTGGGAGAAGGAGAAGGTGGGCTATACGGAGAGAGTAAGGAAACACATACACTAACATATGTAAAATAGCCAGTGGGAATTTGCTGTATGACAAAGCACTGAAATATCCAGGTGACCCACAACTAATTTCCCCCCCTCAAGAAACCTTCCTAAACCCACATCGTCTGTTCACATTTCCTACTTTGTAAATGTATGTCAGTTAGAAACTCTATTTCCTGCAGGAAAATATCTATAAGTATAAGGGATTAATTTGGACAAACTGCCATCTTGAAGTCTTCTAAACTCTTATATCTTACGATGTTAAAAAATCAGACTCAAAACTTAATAGAATTCGTCCCTCCTCTTATACCAGTAAGCATTTATTATATATTAATATTATTATTACATGTCAGTATCTTGCTCCTGTTTTAAATGAGAATCTAGTTCCTCAAAACTTCACCCATAACTCAATGCAGAGTCTTTGAGTCTGCTTAATTTGTAATCATATAAAAAAGTAACTTTCAGAATTTCTTTCTGAGATTCATTTCTACTTTGTGAAAATAAGAGCTCCAAGACACAAGCAAAAATATTTTACCTCATCTGAATCCACTAACACTGGAAGAGCTCTGAAATAAAAGAAAAAAGTCGACAAAGTTATTGAAAGTCCAGTGAATCTACAGAAGCTGAATATAAGCATATCCCACGATCCACCAATTCCCATTCCTGGAAGACACAGCTGACAGGAATGACTACCGGCGTCACCAGCAGACACACAGCACTGCTGCCCTTAACATGCTCCAATCAGCGGACTGGGATACCACGGGGCCCTCCAAGAGGAGGTATGAAGTTCTGAGGGGTCAAGCTGTAAAACCAACACTGGTAATCTTCAGTTACAGACACCAGTGGGGCACTAGCTGTGGGAGAGTGGGGTCATGATTTGGGAGGAAAATAAGATAGTTTTTAGGGTGCTAGTGATGTTCCAGCTTTTGATCTGGTATCTGGGTGCTGGTTACATGAGTGTGCTTATATTAAAAATGCATTGAGCTATACACTTGGGCAACCAATTTTATTTTTATTTTTAAGCCCCTGTAATTTTTAACTTTGAATAGCTGGACAAATGTCTTGATTAGTGATGTGCTATCTAATCTGAAAACCCACGTGTCATGTCCTTTTCTGAGAATGAAAGAGGGGTCAACAGGCTTGAGTGCAATCATCCTCTCACTATGAACCTGTATGTCACACCATCATGTGCCCATTAAACAGACACCATTATAATTAAAATCACACATATTTTTAAAAAGATGGATGAGTGGACATTTACAAAAGGTGGTACTTATAGAATCAAGTAGTTAATTCCTATGTCACTGGTATTCTTGACTGGACACAAATCTGTGAAGGGTACTGGAAACAGAAAGAATTACACAACATAACTGTTCAGAAAGAGAATACTACAGATAAAAAGAAAAGACAAATGGCCTCGGCGTGCGCTGGAGCAGCGAGAGGGAGAGCCCAAAGGTCTCAACATGAAAGCCTCATCGATGCACAGTCCAACAGGTGCTACTGGCAGCGCAGCTCGTGCGAGAGACGGAAGAAGGTGAAGTGGGGGCCTCGGGGGTGTGCAGGAGGAGCCGCTTAGATGGCTCAGAACAGCACCGCTAAGGAAGATCCCAAGGAGACGACTACCTGAGGGACACGTGGACCAGAAGCCTGGAGGCCGAGGAGAGAGCCTCGGGCACTTGGCACCTCATTTAGAGATGAACACGAGCAGTCTCCAGAACGGTTCCTGCTGTGAGGGAAATGACCATCTAGAACTTACTAAGACGGGATCAGGGCACTGAAACGGAAGGTGAACTATGCTAAGCTGACCTTTCTCATTTATCAGAGATACAGAAAAGTCATAATATACATTATGTGAATGTCAGATAACACATTAGGTCATATGGGTTATTCATGATCTGTTTAAATTGCCCTATAACTTGCAAAACTTTTGTTCCACTCCTACAGAAGCATATAAAAGGACTTCACATACACCTGGACGTGAAGTCCAGTTTCTTAACTTCCTATGTAAACAGCACATGCACTTTGGGTAGCACTGAGCTAAACTTCTTATTAGACAGAAATGGTCTAAATAGGAAGTAAATGGGAGCAGGGAAACGAACAAACAGCATGTGGAAACATCCTCTCTGGCCATTCTGTTGTCTACTGTGGAAACAGCTACCTGGAATTCAGGTGTCACATAGCAGCGGTCCCCAATCTTTTTGGTCCCAGGGACCGGTTTTGGGGAAGACAATTTTTCCATGGACCGGGGTGGGGACTGGGTCAGGTGGGGATGGTTTTGGGATGATTCAAGCATATTATATTTATTTTGCCACCACTGATCTGATAGGAGGCAGAGCTCAGAAGGAAATGTGAGTGATGGGGAGTAGCTGTAAATATAGAGAAAGCTTCTCATAGTTGCCTGTCACTCACCTCCTGCCATGTGGCTAACAGGCCACAGATGAATACCAGTCCATGGCCCGAGGACTGCAGTTAGATACAGACAGTAGTCCGTGGCCAGGGACCACGGCCAGATATAGACACCGATACAGAGGAACCCAAAGAGGCTTCCTCTGCAGTCTGGTTTTCCTAAGCTCGTGTTTCTCCTCCAAAAGCATTCCCACTCTACATGTTATTGTGGTTACATGTGTTTAAATAAAAAAAAGTTTGAACTTTTCCATATTATAAAATGAAAACAAAACAAAACAAAAAAATGAAAACAAAATGACTCTGATCCTGATAAACTTATATAAAAAAAAGGAGTTGGTTATGGGCAGGAGTATTAAGAGTTGTTGTACACTAAAAGGGAAGGAGACAGACAGACCAAGGCAGGGCAATGTTTTCTTTGCATTTCAACATGAAGTTGATCTGTCCATCACTAGTGATGGAGGTCTATAGAAACATACAGAGGAGAGAGGCTTAAAAACACATAAAAAAGTACGAAAATTATCCATTTATAGGACAGCCCAAATGTTAGATTCAAACTTTAACAGAGGATATTTACACATCTGTGAATGAAGAGGGAATATTTTCCTCCACCCACTTCAAATCTTCACCCTGTAGAAATANGGTTTGATCCCTGGCTCTGGAAGATCCCCTGGAGAAAGGAATGGCTGCCCACTCCAGGATTCTTGCCTAGAGAATTCCACCGACAGAGAAGCCTAGTGGGCTACAGCCCATGGGGTTGCAAAGAGTCAGACATGACTGAGCGACTGACACTTTCACTTAGGGTACCTACATTTTTTTTCTACAGAAAACATGCTCATAGTCATTTTACTGAGAGTAAGAAAAATAAAAGGTATACTGAATATTTTGGTTTACAATGTAAAATAAGTCCAGTTGGCTATATGGAATCCTCTGGTTCTAGCAGTAAAGATATTTTGCTTACCTAGAGAAAAAGAAAAAGCAGCTGAGCCAGTACTAGTAGGAACCCAACTCTCTGAGTGAATCTCAGTGAGAAATAAGTTAACCAAGAAAAGACAAGGTTCCAAACTTCTCATCAAGGGCTGGCTACATAATTTCAAGAAATGAAAGCATTTTCCCTTGCTATACGTGCAGAAATTGAGCTTCAAAATAAACTGAGACAAATCCCTAAAATAAGAGGAAAATTTCTTAGCAAGCTGAAGGTTTAACAGTTCTAACAGCAGATAACGAAAACTGTTGTACTTTATTTTCGCTTGTTTGACCATGCAGCAAGTGGGATCTTAGTTCCCTGACCAGGGATAGAACCTGTGCCCCCTACAGTGGAGGCACAGTCAACCACTGCATCGCCAGGGAAGTCCCAAAACTCTTGTACTTTTAAAGTTTAGTTAAATTACCATAAAACTATTCAAAGAACACACTTTAAAGAATTACTAATTACCAAAAATAAAAATTAAGAGAAGTTACCAAATCCAACAAATGAAACTGTTGCATACACCATCCATCCTGTCAGAACTTAGGTGTGTACATAAATTTTTACACTTTATTAACCACAAAAGAGGTAAGAAAGCCAAATATAAAACTGTATGATAGGCATTTCCATTTTGTTTAATTACTTTCATAACTACCACTTTATGCATAAATAATGTGCATTAAACATTTTAAAACTAATTTCTACCCTACATTTTACCATTTTATTCAAGCTTATGTGGTTTAACAGTCCTCCAACAGATAAACATCATCTGAAATGGCTTCAAAGATCACTTAAAAATGCTGAAAAATTAACACAAACTTTTACTGTAACAAAGCATCTCGAGCTTTAATATGCATGTGACTCATCAATGGAATCCTGTTAAAAAGCAGATTTAGATTCAGTAGGTCTGGTATACATGTGAAATTCTGGTCCAAAGACAACACATGGAAAGCAAGGGGCTTCCCTGGCTGCACAGAGGTAAAGAATCCACCTGTCAGTGCAGGAGACATAGGGTTAACCCATGATCCAGGCAAATCCCACATGTCATGGAGCAACTAATAAGCCCATGTACCACAACCATGAAGCCTGCCCTCTGGAGACCCGGAGCCCGGAGACTACCGAAGCCCGTGTGCCTAGAGCGCATGCTCCGCAACAAGAGAAGCCCGGACACCGCAACCAGAGCAGACCACCCACTGCAATTAGAGGAAAGTCTGAGCAGCAACCAAGACCCAGGACAGTCAGAAACAAGTAAACAAAGCTATGTAAGGAAAAGTGAGGGTTTACAGCAGTTGTCAGACTTAACTAGTACCACTACTTGGTAACATCTACTTTCATACAAAAAAACCTAGTAAAAAATGTTCTCTGAAAGGTTGATGAATGCAACATTCATACAGATTTCTAAAGTATTAAAGACTATTAAATATATATTATACTCACAAAATTATCAGAAGTAGCAGGTTTAGCTGTTCCATTGGAAACTGTTTTTGAGGCTCTTAATTTTATTCCTTCAGCTGTAATGAGAAACATTATAGAAATACACAAAATTATAAAATAATAACATTTTCCTTTGTAGCCTCACATTTAATAACTCTATAAAGAGACTTCTAATTTCAAAAACCTATTATATTGGAATTAATTTGGCACTAGTAAAAGACAACAAACTGGTTCCAAATCAGGAAAGGAATATGTCAAGGGTGTATATTGTNTCATTGGAAAAGACCCTGATGCTGGGAAAGATTGAGGGCAGGAGAACGGGATGACAGAAGATGAGATGGTTGGATGGCATCACCAACTCAACAGACAGAGTTTCAGTAAACTCCGGGAGTTGGTTGAGGACAGGGAGGCCTGGCATGCTGCAATCCTTGGGGTCACAAAGAATTGGACACAACTGAACTGACTGAAAAGTACATTCTTCAAAGTGTTATTGCATTGGTAAAACAATCTGAAGCAACAGCAAAATCCACTGAACAATATGTGCTGATTTATTTCTGGACTCTTCTTTTAAGTTTTCTGAAATTTAATTTCCTAATTTATTAATTTATTTCTTGGACTTTATTTTGATACTCTGATACATCTCTATCCTTCTGCCAATACCACACTGTCTTGATTAGTATAACTTGAAATTTTTGTCTTGAAATCAGAGTAAGTCCATTAATTTCATTTTATTTAGACGTAATTCCCACACCATAAAATGTACCATTTTGAAGGATACACATCTGTGGATTTCAGGACAGTTACAGAATTATGCAATCATCACCACTATTAATTTCAGAAGCTTTACATCACCATCTCCCATACCTATTAGCAGTCACTCTCAACTCACTCCTTCCACCAGCCCCTAGCAGACACTCATCTATTTTCCATCTCCATGGATTGATCTATTCTGGACTTTTCACGTAAATAGCATCATATAACATACAATCTTTCATAATTTGTTTCTTTCACTTAGCATACTGATTCAAGATCTACGTTGTAACTACAAGCACGGTTAGGCTCTTCCAGATCTTTTGTATTCCATATATATTTTAAAGGGCTTCTGTGGTGGCTCAGTGGTAAAGAATCCGCCTGCCAATGCAGGAGACACAGGTTCAGTCCTTGGGTCGGGAAGATTCCCTGGAAAAGGAAATGGCAACCTACTCCAGCATTCTTGCCAGGGAAATCCCATGAATAGAGGAGCCTGGCAGGCTACAGGCCATGGGGTTGCAGAGTTAGACATGACAACAAAAACATATTTTAAATTTGCTTAAGCATTTTTTTTAAAGTTAGCTAGACTTACAATTGGGATTGTACTGAATCTATTACACATATAAATTAGGTAAGTGATGGGTTAATAATATTGAGCTACAATTCATAAGCATGTTAAAGCTCTACATTTACCTATTCTATAATTTCTCTTGGCATTGTTTTGTATTCTTCAGTGCAGTTTTGCACATTTTTTCCATTAAATTTATTCTTAAATATTTTATTTTTGAAGCTATTGTAAATCACATTTTAAATTTCATTTTAAAATTATTTCCAGTTGGTATGCAAAAAAACCAACTAATTTCTGTGTATTGGACATACATCTTATGACTCTGTTTTATTCAGTTATTAGTTCTACCGTGCTTTTTCTTTTTCTATAGATTTCTTAGGATTTTCTACATACATAACCTTGCTCTCTACCAATACAAACAGATTTCCTTCTTTCCACACTTTATGCCTTTTGTATTCTTCGGGCTGGTTTGTGGGCTTTGCCTTTCTGCACCAGCTGGGACGGACCTCCTGCTCTGAAGCTGAGTCAAAGTGATGAGCAGTTATCTTTGTACCTGGTTTCCAGTCTTGGGAGAAAATTCACCATTTCACCACTAAGTATGATTTCAGGTGTGGAGTTTTTTCATACTGTTCTGTAATTTGTTTGCTAAATGGGTTGCTTTTATATGAAAAAAAAAAATGAATAGGTACTGAACTCTGTAATACATCTTTCTGTACCTATTGAGATAATTATGTCATTTTACTTCCTTATTCTTTAGATGAATTACATTGATTGATTTCCAAATGGAGAAAAGTCCACTTGACAATAGTGACCTTTCAGTACTGTGCTAGATTTCATTTACTCATGTTTTTAAAGAAATATTATGTCTCTACTCATGAGTGATATTGGTCTGTAACTTTTTCTTTTTTGTCTTTGTTAGATTTTGGCATTTGAGCTGTGCCGGCCTCATAAAATACATTAGGAAGTATTCTTATGTCTCTATATTCTGAAGAATTTGTGTAAGATTAGAATGTTTCTTCCTTAAGTATCTGAAGGTTAGTTAAGTCATTTGGGTCTGGTGCTTTATGGGAAGATTTTAAACTTCAATCCAATTTCCTTAAGAGATAAATGGTTATTTCAATTTAGTGGCATAGGGTTAGATTAGGGTAGTTTCTTAAGTGTATTTTTCAAGGAATTTGTTCATTTTATCCAAATGCCCAATGTCTTCATAATATCCCCTTACCTACTTTCTTACTGTAATAATGTCTTATCTATTTTTCCAGTGTTGGAAATTTGTCTTGCTATACTGTTGGTCTCTATTTCTGGTTTAGATTACCTAGAGGCTAATCCATTTTTATTAATCTTTTCTAAAAGAAACTACATTTGGCTTTGTTGATTTTCTTTCTTCCCTTGTTTTCTATTTCACTGATGTAGACAGTTAACTTTATTATTTCCTTCCTTCTAACTACTCCAGTTTAATTTATCACTTTTTACTAGCTTCTCAAGATGGAAACATATCATCACTGATTTTATATGTCATTTTTTTTCCTTGGTAATATAGACACTTAGCGCTATTAATTTTCTAAAAATTGGTTTAGTTGCATCCTATAAAATGTGATGTTATGCTTTTATTATCATTTATTATGAAATATTTATTATTCCTTCATTCCATGAGTTACTTAGAAATGTATTATTTAATTTCTAAATACTTGATTATTTTGTAGATATACTGTTATGCATCTAACTTAACCATTGTGAACATAAACACACTCTGTGATTGCAACCACTGAAATATATGGAGACATTTTTAACAGTCACTCACACGGGTTATTTTATGTAATGCAGACTTGAACACTTATTCTTCAGTTGCTAAATGTAATGGTCTATAAATATCAATCAAATCAATAAGGTCAATGGCCTTATTCAGTTCTTGTACATTGTTACACATATGTATTAATGTCTTATCAATCACTGAAGAGGAAGTGTTAAAATATCAACTTATTTGTATCTTTCTTTAGAGCTTCAAAATTCATGAACCAAAATTTGATAGAATTGTCATTGGATATATATACATTTAGGACTACTATGTCTCCATGATAAATTCATCATTTTATCATAAAGAAGTGACACCACACAGCCACACTAGCTTTCCAATGCTTAGTGTTTTCATGGTTTATCTTTTTCCATTCTTTCAACCTTTCTGTGACATTTTTGAGGTGTCCCTTATAAACATCACACAGCTGAGTTTCATATTTTTTTTAACAATCTGACAATCTCTTCCTATTGAGTATTTAGTCCACTTGCATTTATTTTAATTATCAAAATAGGTTACTTAAGTCTATTTTGCTTTACTATTCAAATTGCAATTTGCTTTACTACTTTATTAAGAACTATAATACAATATTGATTTCATTTACTTCATGTCTACTATGTTATAAATCTCACATTATTATTTTTGCTACAAAAAGTTAGTTGACTTTTAAGACTTTTTAAAAAAATAGTGACTTTTTATATTTCTCCAGGTATGTACTATTTTCAGGGCTCTTCCTTCAGTCAGTTTCATTTTTGTTTCTTGATCAATTTTAGAAATTTTCTGGCCAATATTTTTTCAAATATCCTTTATGCCTCATTCTCTCTTCCTCTTCTAGAGCTCAACTATGTACCTGTTAGACTGCTTAATACTGTCTTTCTGGTCACAGAAGTCAGCTTACTTTGTTTCTAGCCTTCTGTCTCTGGTTTTCAGCTTGAAAAATTTCTTTTGCTTTGTCTACAAATGCTCACCATTACTTGGTTGTGTCCAATTTACTGGTCTACTGTTAATCCTATTTCATGAATTTACTTCAGATATTCTGCTTCCCTGGTGGCTCAGAGGGTAAAGCGTCTGCCTGCAACGGGGGAGACCCGGGTTCAATCCCTGGGTTGGGAAGATCCCCTGGAGAAGGAAATGGCAACCCACTCCAGTGTTCTTGCCTGGAGAATCCCATGGATAGAGGAGCCTGGCCGGCTACAGTCCACAAGGTCACAAAGAGTTGGACACAACTGAGTGACTTCACTTCCACTTTCTTTCCAATTTCTATACTTAGTATTTTTATTTGGTTCCTCCTCTTTTCTCCTGAAATTTCTCTTGCCTTCACCAATCTATTCCTATAGATTCTTTGTTGTTGTTGTTCAGTCGATAAGTTGTGTCCGACTCTGTGTGACCCCACAGACCGTAGCACACCAGGCTTCCCTATCCTTCACCATCTGCCAGAGTTTTCTCTAACTCACGTCCACTGAGTCAGTGATGCCATCCAACCATCTAATCTTCTGTCACCCCCTTCTCCTCTTGCCCTCAATCTTTGCCAGCATCAGGGTCTTTTCCAATGAGTCAGCTCTTTGCATCAGGTGGCCAAAGTACTGGAGCTTCAGCTTCAGCACCAGTCCTTCCAATGAATATTCAGAGTTGATTTCCTTTAGGATGGACTGGTTTGATCTCTTTGCTATCCAAGCAACTCTCAATAGTCTTCTCCAGCACCACAGTTTGAAAGCATCACAGATTCTTTAACATATTTATAACAATTATTTTAAAAGTCTTTCTTGTTAATTGTAACATCTGGGCCATTTCTAGATCACTATTGACTGATTTTTCCCTTAACTATGGGTCACAGTTTCCAGTTTCAATTCCCTGTCTAATAATTTATCATTGTATATGGGATATTGAGAATGGTAACTTATAGATTCTGGACTCCCTTATCTCTAAGAAGTGTTTTGTCCTAGAAGGCATTCAGATTATGGCTGGACATGCTTTCAGATTTTATCGGGGTTTATTTCAGTTTAGCTCGAGTCCTAGGGAACATTTCCATGGTCCCAGCCTGCGTGGTCTTTATTTCTAAGGAGTAGCCCTCCTGGGGTTTAATGGAAAGCCCACGGGGTTTCCCCAAGCACTTTAACGTGCTGATATTTGAATTTCAAACCCTGCAGTGGGCATGTGCTGAAATTTCTGTTCTGCTTCTTAGCCAAACAGCTATTGTTTTCCCCCTTGCCTTTTGGAGTCTCAATGCCCCTTTCAGGCATCAGACAAGATTAGAGAGACTTTTTAAAGACTGTGGAATTTCTTCCTTCGTGGCTCTCTTTTCTGGATTTCTTCTCTCAATTTCCAGGCATTCTTACATCCCCAAGCTTCACTCCCCAACTCCTTGCATCAGTGAGATTACGCCTATCAGCTTGAGCTCTAGCCTGTCTCATTGACTGGGCACATACTCTGGACAAAAGCTCTATAAATGTGGAACTTATTAAGTGCGGCTCTTTTCTTTCAACAGTGAAAGTTCTTCCAGTTTCTGCCTGCCTTTCATTGCTCTCCAGTGCCTTTAAACAATTAATTAAAAAAAAATTCTGTCCAGAGTTTATTCTAGCTATCAGCAGGAAGACTATCCAATACAATTCATTCCATCATTATTGGAGCCAGAACTAACACACTGAATTTTAATATCTCTGCTGTGAAAAATTTAGCAATCAACATTAAGAAGATCAATATTATTTGGGAGCTAAGTACAATATATACCAAATCAGTCTTGTGGAAAACAAGTGTACTGACTTCAATACTTAGACATGAAGAGCAAACAAAAGCTCCAACTATATTAACAATCTGGAAAATTTCATCACTGACTCTTCTTCTTGTGACAGTCTACTGTGACAGAGCTTTCCTCAGATACAGTCTTAAAAATATTTTACGGGAAAAAAAGTGTTGCTGACCTTGCATCACAGGTAGAGACACAATATTTCTTTGTTACAATAGATACAGTAGTTATTTAGTAAGAAAACATATCACTCACTTAAATTTTCAGATGTTACTATGAATTCTTCAATTTCATCATCAGAATCATCTATTAAAGGCATGAAGGCATATCTAAATAAAAAACAAGGAGTAGTTTTACTAATGTATTTAAACCTGTTCGATGTTCAGTTTACACCCAAACAGTCATTCCAGGGGCCCCTCTCCCCTCTTCCTACGGGGAGACCCCTGTCCTGCCCCTTACACCGCCCTTCTTTCACTGTCTCCTTTCATTGTATTTGTCTCCCCACCTGACTGTTACCTCTTGACACAATCACTACTTCTCTTGTTTCTATAAGTGCTTTTCTAACATTGGAGCAGAAGATGAACAAAATCCTTGCCCAACTATGTAAGGTACCTCTGATTATTTGCTGATGGTCTCCACAAAAACATTATGACAATAAGAATAAGTGAGAAAAGGAAGCTCCAAAATGCATCATCAACCCAGCGTTCCATCCAATCCTATAACAAGGATGATTCAAACAGGAAAAGTTAATTTTTGATAAACAGATTTCCCACTGAAATAGTATATAATGACAAGTACTAATGAAATCCTTCCAACCAGTAAGTCTTCCAAAAAATGAGATGTTTTTTCAAGAAACCTAAAAACTAAGAAATTCTATCTTAAAATCCATATTAAAGCTTAGTTGGGCCTTATAATCAATCCAATGAATAAAACCCTAACAAATTAAACAGCATCATGAAAAGAATTAGAACTGAAAAGGGCTTTAAAGGTCAATTAATTTATTTTCTAGACAAGAAGTTTCTTCTCTCATGAAATTTTCCTTAAGGCAGCAAAAGTTCAGGGTTTTCACAGGGCTCTTTATAATTATATAGAACTAGCAAGGAGATCAAACCAGTCAATCCTAAAGGAAATCAACCCTGAATATTCATTGGAAGGACTCATGCTGAAGCTGAAGCTCCAATACTTTGGCCACCTGATGGGAAGAGGTGACTCATCGGAAAAGCCCCTGAGGCTGGGAAAGAACGAGGGCAGGAGAAGGGGAGCAGCGGAAGATGAGATGGTTGGATGGCAGCATCGACTCAAAGGGCATGAGTCTGAGCAAACTCGGAAAGATGGTGAAGGACAGGGAAGCCGGGCATGCTGCAATCCATGGGGTCGCAGAGTCAGACTTGGCGACTGAACAACAACCAATATAGAACTAGAGGCTATTTCCAAATCAAGAAATCCCCAAAAGGGCCTTTTATATTTTCAGTCTAAGAAATATATCTTCTAACTAGAGAATCCAAGGAGAATACTCCTGAATATTCATGATGGGTATACTATAAACATGTATAAAATCCTAGAAATACGTCAAGCTTAAGATTTAGAATCTCACTTAGACACAAAGCAACCCAATCACACTATGTGCTTGAAGAAAATTATTTCCTGTTACCTTGGACTATTCAGGGAGAGGATTCCTTTTCAGAATACAACAAAAGAAGCTGAGAAAAGGGAGTAATTGGAAATGGAGATTTAGGAGGAACTTTGTTTCAGACTCGTTTAAAGGAGAAAAATGTTTTTTAATCCTGCACAAAATAATTCCAAGTAAATGGAATATCTCCACTACACTTATCTTGGTCTACAAACACAAATTAAACTCTTCAAACTTACACAAAATAAAACAGTACAATTAAAAATGAAAATTATTTACACAGGAAGATTATACTTACTGATTGACATTTTGCAAACCTAAATGTCTTAGTTGTCCACACCATAAACACTACAGATGCTGAAACACACCAAAAAAAAAAAAAAAGTCAACCTCTGAAGGAACATATACAATATTAAAATAATTTATTATAAAAGAAAAATCAGATAACTTACCCAGTATGGCAAAGATCAGGGTATTTGTAAAGTGCCTGTATAAAGAAAATTTTACTGTGTTCTTTCTTAGTCTGAGAGTCTTCATAGTTTGTGCCAAACTTATAAAAATGTGAAAAAGAGTTAAGGGAAAAATTTTAAATAAAAATACATAGTTAAGATTAAAAAACGAAATAAGAATCTTCTGCTACATTTCCAAAACTACTGCTACACAGAGTTCCTATAATTTAAAACTAATAAAAACACAGAAAATGTCTTTTCCACTAATGTATAATCACAATAGCAATTTTATTTCAGATTTTGTTGTACAATTTACCACTGTCTGAACTAAGTAAACAAACTTCAAGGAAAAAGAATGTAAGGGACAAGACCTGTGTTGTGATCCTTCAATGCCAAGTTCTCGAAACACAGGACAGAGCAGGACACAGACTAAATGCTAGGTCCCCCTTGGGCCAGACACACTTTTCAGATGCCATCAGGACATGCCACTTGGCTTGCGGTTTTCTGTCTCCGTTTCTTTCTTATTTTTTTGTTTCTGGTCTATTCTCATTCTACCCTCTGAATGATCATAATTAAGAAGTTAAGTCATCTATCAATTCCATTTTATAAATTAAAAAATATATATATATCAAGTAAAACAAATCTGGACTTAGGGAAGGACTTTATTCAAGAGATTATTGCAATATGGAGAATATTCTGACTGTAAGATCTGTGGGCGTCCCAAAGGTCAGGCAGGGAAGAGCTTTGCTTTTATTACTGTTGTTGTTGCTTAGTTGCCAAGTTGTGTCTGACTCTTATGCAATCCCATGGACTATAGCCGGCCTGGCTCCTCTGCCCATGGGGTTTTCCAGGAAAGAATGCTGGAGTGGGTTGCCATTTCCTTTTCCAGGGGATCTTCCCGACCCAGGGATCAAACCTGCATCTCTGGCATTGGCAGGAGGGTTCTTCACCACTACGCCACCAGGAAAGCCCTTTGCTTTTGTCAGGAGGTGTAAACAGGACTCGAGAGTGGCAGGTGTGGGAAGGGGGTGGCCTGACGGGCCAGTTGCTCAGGGTTATGACTTTCCTTGAGGCCTGTAGGTAATCAGGAAGGGCTGTGAAAGAGGGCTGTGGGTGGACGAAAGCTCAGGGACCTGGGGGAAGGAGAAGGCTCAGTCAGTCTGGTGCAGTCTGACATTTTGTCCAGATTAGCCAATAGGTACATACACAGGTTTGTGTCTGGCCTTGTTGTAAGTAAACAAGGGAACACCTGGGAATCTCACTGAAGTCCCATGGGGAAAGGCAGCTTTTGGTGTTAATAGTAAATCAGCCTTTTCCCAAACACGAACAGGTGGAGGCTGTCTTAAGCGTGGCTATCTTCCAGGAGCACAGGACTGAGGCAAACAGCAGCATTGTCAGATACGAAGCAGAGAGAGGCCTGTCCACTGGCTCCTCGGCGGTGAGGCTGTGATGAAGCCAGAGCTCTGTAAACATGAGCAGCTTTCTCTGCAGCTCACCAAGCCCTGTGCAGGCATGACCCACTGAACATACATCACAGAGCTGAGCAAAGGGGGATGGAAGTGGCACATTTTAGATTTATTTTTGCCTCCTCTTTAAATTCCCAATACTTCATTAATCAAAAAATTCATTTTAGCCCTAAAAGTACCTAAGTGCTTTTCAATTTTTCTGTGTTTCGTCGCTTCAGTCATGTCTGACTCTTTGCGATCTCAAGGACCCATAGCCTGCCAGGCTCCTCTGTCCATGGGATTCTCCCAACAAGAATACCAGAGTGGGTTGCCATGCCTTCCTCCAGGGGATCTTCCTGACCCAGGGATTAAACCTGTGTCTCCTGCATTGCAGGCAAGTTCTTTACCACTGATGCAAAAAGCTGACTCATTGGAAAAGACCCTGAAATTGGGAAAGACTGAGGGCAGGAGGAGAAGAGGGAGACAGAGGATGACATGGTTGGATGGCATCACCAATTCAATGGACATGAATTTGAGCAAACTCTGGGAGATGGTGAAGGATGGGAAGTCGGGTGTGCTGCAGTCCATGGGGTCGCAAAGAGTTGGACACAATTGAGCGAATGAATAACAACAAATGACCCATTAAGTTGCAACAGAAGATCAATTTCTATCAGAACACAATTCAACCAACTAAGGTTGCTGTCAGGACTTACAGAGATGGACATACACATTATTCAATAAACAGGATCAAGACCGGACACGTTTAAAGCAGTAGTGAAAGCACGCAGGCCCCACCATCCTGGCAGGAGTCGCCGTGCGCGCACTGCTGCCGTGGCTGGAAAAGGATATCCACCAGCACAAGCCAGAGTCAAGGAGAGACAGAGGCAGGCTGGCCAGAAGCACAAGGTCAGAGTCATGGGCCTGCAGCAAAAGAGCAAAACGAAAGAGATGAAAAAGCAGGAAGAGAGGAGGGGGCAGCAGCGTCCAGCGTCTTCAGGCCACTCTTTCTTACTGTGGGTAACATCAGATTCTGACAGAAGCTGCCAGGCCAGGTTCATCGAAAGCAAAGGCAGCACGGCCATGATCCCAGCCCTGGCTCTACCAGGACCGGGCCCTGCTTCTTTGCTTGTCCCTGGTAATCGCTGAGGAAACCCACTGCCTCTGTACAGAGAGAGTGGGCTTTTCTTCCCAGTAACGAAAACTACCAAACAGCAATCCAAGAGCAGACATCAGAAATTCAGGTTGAACTTCCTTTTCTCTCACCATAAAATGCAAACCGAGAGAATTTCAATTTCTGGATATCTTTACGACTTTGATCTCTAACATCTTTATTAAAAATATCAATAATTGAGCAAGCTAAATCTTTCCCCTTATTTTCTGTATCTCCCCGGCTGAATCTGGCTCATGACGTGTTGGACCAAAGCCAAAGTTGTCCATAAAGGTGGCAAGTTACCCTCATTCAAATCCAGATGGAATTAAAGAGCTTATAGCCACTTTTCTCTGGAATTTTCTGCCAATTTGCATGACTGTGTGTTTTTCCCAATGAACTACCTTGCGGGTGGTTAAGAGCAAGAATTCTTTGAAACACACATCTGTAAATGACCAGTAGAAAAGATAACATAGGTTTTTAAAATGCAAAGTCTGTAGCTCAAGTAGTTGATGGAGGAACATATGCTCCCTCACATAAGCATACCCAAGCTTAGAAATAAGACAATTCCAAACCAAACAAATATCTTAAGCTCACTTTCTAAACACGTGATGACAGCAGAGAAGACACGAAGGTCAGCGATGGTAATGCTGAGCCCTGCTAGCAGCTAGTTTGCGTTGTGTGCTCAGTTGCTCAGTCGTGTCCAGCTCTCAACGACCCCATGGACTCTACCCTACCAGACTCCTCTGAAGGCTCCTCTGTCCACAGGATTTCCCAGGCAAGAATCCTGGAGTGGGTCGCCATGCCCTCCCCCAGGGGATCTTCCCAACTTAAGGATCAAACTTGCATCTCTTGCGTCTCCTGCACTGGCAGGCGGGTTCTTTACCACTAGTGCCCCCTGGGAAACTCTAATTCTTTTCCTAGTAAATTTCCATTTGTCCATGCAGTCTCAATTTAAATGTCACCATCTCCCTGAAATCTCTCTGGACTGTCAGCCTGCAATTAATTCCTCTTTCCTGTTTGCAAAGCACCTCTGTAAAATGGCAATTACTATTGCTATGTTGCTCCTAGTTAAGTATTTGTCTCCTCTACCTGATTCCTCAGTATGTTCATTTAAGTTTGCTAAACTAATAGAAAAAATAAAGATTTTTTTAAATTGAGGAATTGTTACTTTTTCATCTTCAACTAAATTCCTATAACGCATAACTATATTTCTCTCTGGTATTATTACAAATTAAAAATAATATGATTTTGATGACACAACAACAATTTTAGGACACAGTAAAGGATATGAACCATACAAAAATGGAGTCAATAACTGCTAAAATAATGTCACCAAGGACAACAGCTAAATGATTAGAACCCTGAAAAAGAAAAATAAGGAAAATATCTGAACGTAAAAATTTCATTATAATAATTATCATCTGATGAAGAAAAACAGTTTATCTCCTCATCATTTTACAAAAGGCTACATATATAAAAGATTTTTTTGCCTAACAGAATTGTATTTGAGCACATGGTATTTATCTGTTTCAGCAGCCACAAATGTTAGTTTGTCATCAGCCTGTCTAGTGATAATGTAAAAATGCTATTATGGAGTGGCAAATAAAACACAGCATGTCCCACCCAACTCAGGTCAACCATTTCTCTCTCTGCCCTCTTCTGACCAAACCTGCAGCCACGCCTCCTAAAGCAATGGGCTCCTCCTCTTCCCCCCGCAAGTGAAAGGATGTGAAAAAGGTAAAATAAGGAAAAGGAACTGCAACCACAGACTGGATGCATACTCCACTCAAGAGCTGACAGAGAATCACACCCAAAACTGTCACATCTAAGATGAGGACCACGTCAAACTTTAAAGAAACACCTCATCGATCCATGGAATGTTTATCCTCCTTTCTATTTTCTTCCCAGCAAAGATAAGCTTTTATGAATTATATATGTAAACAGAAAGTTCTTCACTATCATGTAAAAGTAATAATAAATGCACCTTTCAAGGAGTCAGAGATGAAGAGAACAGTTGTCTCTACTCAGAATGCGCTATGTCAAAGACACTGGAAGAAGGGTGAGGCTTTTAACATTACTGGACAAATGCCCGGCTTTAAAACATCAGATCAAACTATGTGAAGTAAGTGTATGTGGCAACATACAGATTATTCAATCTGTGCGCAACGGTCTGATTTCAGTATCTAACCCAAAAGACGTTTTAAGTAAAAATTACACAGTTCTCTGAATCAAACAAAAATATAAAAAGCTCCTTAATCACTAAGTCATCAAAATGGAATGTTTATCCTCCTTTCTATTTTCTTCCCAGCAAAGATAAGCTTTTATGAATTATATATGTAAACAGAAAGTTCTTCACTATCATGTAAAAGTAATAATAAATGCACCTTTCAAGGAGTCAGAGATGAAGAGAACAGTTGTCTCTACTCAGAATGCGCTATGTCAAAGACACTGGAAGAAGGGTGAGGCTTTTAACATTACTGGACAAATGCCCGGCTTTAAAACATCAGATCAAACTATGTGAAGTAAGTGTATGTGGCAACGTACAGATTATTCACTCTGTGCACAACGGTCTGATTTCAGTATCTAACCCAAAAGACGTTTTAAGTAAAAATTACACAGTTCTCTGAATCAAACAAAAATATAAAAAGCTCCTTAATCACTAAGTCATCAAATATATTACTAAGGAAAACCAAGAGCTAGACATCTAGGGGTCTTTGCAGATACAAACGCTCGCTCTTCTCTGGGGTAAACTACTGCTGCCCTGGCTGCCAGAGCCATTTCTTCCTAGAACATACCTCGTCCTGGTTCCTCCAGAAGTAGGGCCACTGAGTCCCCTCAATACTGAGCCCACCAGAGTCAGGGAAAATGGACAGCTACCTGACACTTAAAGGAGCGATGACACGTAATGTCTGCACGCACAGAAGGTAAAATTAACTTTCTGCTCACTTACACATGTTTAAACGAAGGGTTAAGGAAGAAATGAAAGTGTTCAGGCTGTAATGATAAAGATGAACATTCTTCAATAAAGAATAGCCATGAACACTTTTGAGATGGGACTATTAATTCCTAGGATGATACCAGGTGGTGCCTTCATAATCATATCATTTTAAAAAGTGCTCTGGTTAGCCTTTTACTTTCAGGACATATAAAAAAAGAGAAATAGTCCACAGGGCACGGGAGGGGGTACTCAAAATTGGGCCTTTTTCACAAATTTCCTATCTTTAAAAATTCATCTCAGGAGATAAGAAAGTAAAATCGAATTTCACAGCAACAACAAAAAAAGTGCAAGTGGAATGATGCAGTCTTTACCCCAATGACTCTCATCACGCCTTCAATAGCCGCAAAGATAAAATAAAGAACCCCCAATCCAATGACCCGGTGCATGACGGTTCCTAGACGAGGCCTAGAATGAGGAGGAGGAAACAGGAAAAAAGAAAAAGATAAGTAAAACGCATCTGAGTACAGTAACTGGCCCCGTTTCCAACACCAAGGACGTCACCATCCAATCACATCAGTCAGCTCCTACCATAGAGGGATTCTGTTTAAAACAGGATTAATCCCCGGGAACAAGGCAGAAACAGGCTCAAGAAAAATGGGCCTCCTTCTCTAGGACTTGAAACTATCGATGCCTGTGAAACAACATTTAAAACAAAAACTGTTTATGGCTGCACTGGGTCTCTGTTGCTGAGCGTGGGCTTTCTCTCGCTGCAGAGAGCAGGGCTCCTCTCTAGTGGCGTGCGGCTTCTCTGTCGCAGAGCACAGGCTCCATGGCGTGCGGGCTTCAGCAGGTGCAGAGGGAGGGCTCCGCAGGGCCACTCCCGGCTCTAGCACACAGGTGCAGTGGTTGCGGAGCACGGGCTTAGCTGCGCTGCGTCACATGCAATCTTCCTGGACCAGGGATTGAACTGGGGTCCCCTGCACTGCAAGGCAGATTCTTAACCACTGGACCACCGGAGGCAACATTTCTGACACCAGAAGATTTTGCTGCTGAAATCCAAGCAGTATAATTAACATAACCCAAGTACTATGTCTACAGAATGGATGAGAAGATTGATGAAACCTAGTAAGTGCCAACTTCTAAGGGTCACTGGCAGAACTAATTCTTTAAGTCTTTCAAAAAGATACAGTGTAAACCGTTCTGAGATGTGTTTTGTCAGAGATAATCCACTCTTTTATGTGGATTTTATTTTATCCTATGACGTGGGCAGAGAAAGAGCAGGATGTCAGGAAATCAAATCCCACCACTTTCTCTCTCAATACCTCCAAACAAGAGTCCTAACAGACTTCAGTTTTCATTCTTCAAATTAAAAAGGATTAAAATAACAGTTTGGATTCTTTGAAAGTATAACTGAGTCAGGAATATGCAAAGATGATGGTTTTTAGCAATTGGCAATTTGAAAATAGAACTGAAATTTCTGGAATTCCCTGGTGTCTAGTGGTTAGGACTCAGCACATGCAATGCCAAGGCCCAGGTTTGATCCCTGGTCAGGGAACTAGACCTCACATGCTGCAACTAAGAGTTCACATGCCACAACTAAAGATCCTGCATGCCACAACTAAGACCCACCATAGCCAATTAAATAAATAAATATTATATAATTAACATAACCCAAGTACTATGTCTACAGAATGGATGAGAAGATTGATGAAACCTAGTAAGTGCCAACTTCTAAGGGTCACTGGCAGAACTAATTCTTTAAGTCTTTCAAAAAGATACAGTGTAAACCGTTCTGAGATGTGTTTTGTCAGAGATAATCCACTCTTTTATGTGGATTTTATTTTATCCTATGACGTGGGCAGAGAAAGAGCAGGATGTCAGGAAATCACATCCCACCACTTTCTCTCTCAATACCTCCAAACAAGAGTCCTAACAGACTTCAGGTTTCATTCTTCAAATTAAAAAGGATTAAAATAACAGTTTGGATTCTTTGAAAGTATAACTGAGTCAGGAATATGCAAAGATGATGGTTTTTAGCAATTGGCAATTTGAAAATAGAACTGAAATTTCTGGAATTCCCTGGTGTCTAGTGGTTAGGACTCAGCACATGCAATGCCAAGGCCCAGGTTTGATCCCTGGTCAGGGAACTAGACCTCACATGCTGCAACTAAGAGTTCACATGCCACAACTAAAGATCCTGCATGCCACAACTAAGACCCACCATAGCCAATTAAATAAATAAATATTTTTTTAAAAAAAAGATGTAACTGTGGTTCAGTGTGAAGGTTTGGGTTTCTGGGAATCAGAGTCTTAGAGAACAGACTCCTCCATGTTCACATCCAGGGAGTCAAAGGTAAGAGGGAGAAAAGATCTTGATAGGATCTGCAGGGGATAGCCAGGCTTCAGACAAAAACTCTGCTGACCTGGTGTTTAATCAGAGCATGCTCTCTTACAATATCTCAAACACAATCATAACACCCAACTGTGCTGCCTAGGAAACCAGAAAATGACCTGAGCCTCAAGAATCATCTAAAATTTTCCATTATCCTTAAAGTTGATTATTCATCTAATTATAAAGTTACTGGAACTTAGGATCTTTATTTGAGGAAAGTATAAAACAGCTGGGCTTCCCAGGTAGCACTAGTGGTAAAGAATTTGCCTGCCAATGCAGGGGAGTGGAGAGATAAGAGACATGCTTTAGATCCCTGGGTTGGGAAGGTCCCCGGAGGAGGAAATGGCAACCCACTCCAGTATACCTGCCTGGAGAATCCCATGGAGAGAGGACCCTGGCAGGCTACAGTCCATGGGCTTGCAAAGAGTCGGACACGACTGAAGCAACTGAGCACGCACGCATGCAACAGCCAGTGCATGGAAATCCATTAAAGGCACTTCCCTGGTGGTCCAGTGGGTAAAAATCCACTTTTCAATGCAGAGGGGCACAAGTTCAATCCCAGGCCAGGGAACTAAGGTCCTACATGCCTCAGGCAACTAAGCCTGTGCCGCAACTAGAGAGCCTGTGCGTTCTGGAGCCCTCACCTAGAGAAGCCCACGATGCAACAAAGACCCCAAGTGCCACAACTAGGGCCTGATGCCCTTAATTGATGAAAAAATTTTAAGTCCCTTAAAAAACACATCCTGGCAGGTATTTCCCTCTGGGATTTTTGTTTCGATACTGAGAGGTGTCCAGCTTCACAGGGGCAATCACGGAGACAGACGCAATCACAGGGTAGAGGTGCGGGGTCTTTCCCACTTACTTTACGATGCCATATCCCAAGCTCACGATGATCACCAGGAGGCGAGCCAGAGTCCTCTTAATCGCAGATATCAACTCCGCAAATATCAGTAACCCTTGGGCTGATGGGAAAGAAGGAAAACCATTTGCTCTGGGTCCACCTGGACGCCTGTTGCTAAGTCTACACATGTACTACGTACAAATATATTCTGACCTCAGATGAATTAGCCACATTTAAATTTAAAGGTCATTTAAATTTAAAGGTCATCTAATCTAATGCTGTTTGCAACCTCAGTGAAGAATTCGCTCTGAATCTGATCGGCTCTCTGGGGCGCGGTTTTCTCAAGTCCACCGGAAACCTGTCTCCTCGAGCTCCCTTCTGTTCTTACTCTTCCACTTGAGGCTATAAAGAACTAGACCTCTTTAGTAGCAGCAGTCACTCACTTTTGTCTGACTCTGCAACCCCATGGACTGCCAGGCTCACTCCTCTATCCATGGAATTCTCCAGGTAAGAATACTGGAGTGAGTTGCCATTCCCTTCTCCAAGGGATCTTCCTGACCCAGGGATCGAACCCAGGTCTCCTGGGTTCTTGCAGATTCTTAACCGTCTGAACCAGCAGGGAAGCCCAGAGTCCTTTCCTGTCCTGTAAATACTTGAAAACCATAATGTCCTCAAGAGCTCTCTTTTCTCCAGGTTGCCCCCATCATTTACTGATTTCCGCTCCTACTGTGTGGTTGTCACAGGAAAAGAAACACCGTGTTCCCTGCCCTTGTGAGGCCTGGACTCTGGGCAGGACAGAATACAACAAGAGCTGGAGGAAACACAGTCTGTGTCCCAGGACGGCAAGAAAAGCGACCTACACCTCATGGGGCAGGAAAAGCTTCTCAGAAGTGACATCTACACCAGGGTTTGAAGCTGTTGTTGCTGTTGTTTAGTTGCTAAGTTGTGTCCAACTCTTTGCAACCCCATGGACTGCAGCACGCCAGGCTTCCCTGTTCTTAACTATCTCCCAGAGCTTGCTCAAACTCATGTCTGCTGAGTCAGTGATGCCATCCAACCATCTCATCCTCTGTCAACCTCCTTCTCCTCCTGCCTTCATTCTTTTCCAGCTTCAGGGTATTTTACAAATGAGTCGGCCCTTCGCATCAGCCAAAGTATTGTCACTTCAGCTTCAGCATCAGTCCTTCCAATGAATGTTCAGGGTTGATTTCCTTTAGGATAGACTGGTTTGATCTCCGTGCAGTCCAAGGGACTTGATGGAGGTTGAAGGCTGAGTAGGAGTTAACTGTTCAGAGGAGGGGAAGGGGAAAAGCAAAAGAAATGGCACATGCAGAGGCATGAAGGAAGAAAGAGAAAAAGCAAAATATGCTGCAAGATGGAACTTCCATGGAGGTCCAGTGGTTAAGATTCTGCACTTCCACTACAGAAGGTATGGGTTACATCCCTGGTCAGGAAAGTGAGATCCTGCATGCCTCACAGCATGGCTAAAAAAAATGCTGCAAGATGTGAAAGTTTGGCAGGTCTGCAGCAAGGCATGTAATGAGAGAGGTCAAAATGAGACTGGGACAGAGGCATGGTCCATTCACCTGGGTTTTATGCCAGGCCATGAGTCTGGTCTTGCTGCTAAGGTCAATGGGAAGTCAATGACAATAAAAAAATAAGAGTGGGACTTCACTGGTGCTCCAGTAGCTAAAACTCCTCGCTCCCAATACAGGTGGCCCAGGTTCAACCAATGGTCAGGAAACCAGATCATACAAGGAACAACTAAAAGTTTGCATGCCACAGCTAAAGATCCCCACATGTTGTACAACTAAGACCCAGAGAGGTCAAATAAACAAATAAAAATAAGTCCAAAAAAAAAAAAAGAGTGAAAAATGCATCGACAAACTACAGCCTACAGGCCAAATCTGGCCCGACATGTGCTTTGTAAATAAAGTTTTATTGGAGAATGTACCATGTCCATTTGTTGTCTGTGGCACCTTTCAGCTCCTAAGACAGGAGTTGAGAAGGTGCAACAGAGCCAACAAAGTCAAAAATATCTCCTGTGCAGGTTTTGCGGGAAGAGCTTGCTGACCCTTAGAATAAAACGGGCAGCTTTATTTTATCAAGATTGCTCTACTTAATGGCTTGGAAAGGAACAGACTATAGGACAGGAAAATGCTTAGGAGGCGACTCCAGAATCCAGCCAAGAAATGATGAGAGCTCTGGCAGTGAAGACAGAAAGGAGGAAAAAGACACTCAGAAACCAGCTGTTAATCCACCTAATTATTCTTTTCAGCTCACATTTCTCCATCCTGTCCAGAAGAAACCACAGGAGACCTCATCCAACACCGTGAAGAAGTTCAGATACACTGTGGAGAAAGTTTGTTACATTTGCCCAACTGCAGCGCAAGTCAAGTGACCTGTCCCTAGCGCGTCCTGTTGGGTCCTAACAATCACTGCTTCTTCACTGCTTGATTTTTCCAGATTCTGTCCTTCCAGGACCAATGCTAAGCAAGACAGCCTGGCTTACAGAGTGCACACTTGGGGAAATCAGGAACATCAGCCCAGGCTCTGTCTAGTACCTCTCTTTTCCACAGCACTCCTCAAAGACAAGGACAGCTGCCTGGGCTTTCTCTGCCGAGCCTTGGTGGAGGCACCTCAGAGGGCTTGATGGCCCTGAGGATGGCAGGTGGGCTCTCCTTCTCTCCATGGATCTCAGGCTTTTGCTGCCCCTCACCCAAGTTCACATCACCTTCTCTAGACAGAGACCCTCACCACTGGCAGCAAAGAAGCGGACCTACCTCCTCTGACACTCAAGAATGCTTTAACACCCAGTCACAAGTGGCAACTTACCCTTTCTTCCTCATTTGGTTTAGGGCGGGCACGCACGCACACACACACACGTGCTTATACATCACTAAAACTCCTTAGAGAGTAATAACACCCCCAACATGCCTCACGAGATGTATGTCTTTGCTTTATTGTTTTGCATGTTGTCCTTTTAAACTTTTCATTTTTGAGAAACTACAATACAGTTTTCTCTCTCTCCAACAGAGAAAGCAGTATAATGAACTCCCAGGTACTATCACTCGGCATCAATACTTATCAACATTATGTTGTATTTATCTCATCTACATACCAACTCACCCTTCTTCCCCAGAGGATTTTAAAATAAAGAACCATGTAACTACACCCTTTGAAAATCTGCACCATGACCATCTGTAACTGACTATTTGAGTACATCCTGAGTGCTTTCTATCCTTTTGAGCGATCTCTCTTTCAAAGGTGCAGTGATGAAATTAATTATATCTTTACTTTTCTGGCCACCTCCCACTTTTTTTTTTTTACCAGCCACACTGCGAGGCATACGGGATCTTAGTTCCCTAAGCAGGGATCAAACCTATGCTCCCTGCACTAGAAGCACAGAGTCTTAACCATTGGAAGGGAAGCCCCTCTGTACAGACAGTCCACTCTATTTAAGCAGTCTGGGGCACACATCTGAAGATGCCCAACTGAATGCCCAGCCGGTGTCCCCCGTCCCACGTTCTGCTGTGTGAACTGGGACGGTGCCTCCCACGGTCACATGAAGTTCTTTGTAAAAGGCTGCAGGCACCATCCATTCTACACTGCTCATCTGACTCCTGTGGCCAAGCTTTCTTTTCTTTTTTGTTGGGGAAAGGAGAAGAAAGAGGATGGATGAAAAAAAGAGAAATATGTTAAAAGGACCCGTAGCACCCAAGTCCCCAGGCCAGAATTTTGTACTGCTTTAAGCCAGTCACTGGCAGCTGAACCTTAGGGAATTTTCTTCTCCCCGGGAAAGTCAGCAAGAATACAGAAAGCAAAGACCATACACATATTATCCTGGTTCACAGACCTACTCTGACACTCTTCTTGGCTTCTGTCCTTTTCATCTATACTATGGCTGTTCCCAAACCACAGGATGAAGGTGAGGGGCAGTCCCCTCTGCTCTGCTCACAAATGCTAGGAGGCTCTTGGGTTATACCATGTTCATGGACACAGTCACTACTTACTTGATAGCCCAGTGCTGTTGATGTTTTGGTATTCAGCATAAAAAACTGCTTTTTCAAGCATTCCCAGGAAAATAACAGCTGCAATCCAGAACTGGATTCTTAATATATCTTTCCAGTAACAGGCAGACCACATCAGCCACAGAACACCATATAAGATATAAACAATACACATCACCATGTAGAACTGTGGGAAGAGAAGCAATTTTAGTCCATTAAACATTCTGATCATTTGAAAACTGAGGTTCCCAGGAAACACAAAAGACCCTGAATAGCCAAGGAAAGGAAAACAAAGCTGGAGAACTGAGGCTCCCTGACGTCAAGCTGCACTACAAGGTCACAGCTGCAGCAGCGCGGCACCGGCACAAAGCTGAACGCTGGCATTTCTACACTCAGGTTTGCAATCCTTTACTTTCCAGTGCCCATGGAGCCAGAAACAGAGGCTATGTCAGTGTTAGCTACTAAGGAATCACTGCTACTCATCTCTTAAAATTTTTGAATATTCTAATTAGGATACAAAACTCATTTTTAAAAAAAGGAAGAAAATTATCAGAGATACTCACAATCATTAGAGGCCAATCTGATGCAGAGATATATCCATAAGGTCCCAACATAGAAAGAGAAACTAGAGAAGGCAGGATGGGGATAAAGAAATTAAGGTATTAAAATTAATAGGTTTCTTTAAAGTTTTTCAACGTAAGCTCATTCTAAGGCTTCAAGAATATAAACCAAGTGAACAAACACTAAATTTTCACCTAGCTCACACAAAGTACTGGGTAATTACTAGCTGTTTGACTATGTAACCTTATCAAGATATCTTTACTTATAGAAATGCTGTTACAAAACATGGGCTAAGGTGACGCTTAGGCAGACAGCAAAGTAGTCCTGGTCGGAGACTGGCCCTGGCTGAGTCCCTGACCTCACCGAGGACTCTGTCTTTCGTAACGTAACCTGGACAAATTACTGAACTCCAGAATCTAGTTTGGGTTGTTGTCTGAGACAGCAATAACAGAGTGGCAGACACAGTACAAGCCTTGCAGGGCTCAGCAGCTGCGCCATTCACTATTCAGCAGCAGCTTAAAACCGCCTACTGGTATCAAGGAAACAAAGGCGGTGGGGAGCAGGCTGGCAGCGGGGGCCCTGTCACCTGTGTGGCATGGTCTGGCCCATTATAGCACCTCCAGGAGGAAGCCCTGCTTCGCCTTCTCCAGAGCAGCCTCTTTACCAGCTTCAGTGGGAAGAACAGCTCTGGGTCTCCTCCGAAGCCATGCCTGTCTCATCTTACTGCTTTCTCCCTCCCCTTTGGACTGGGTGCCCCTCAGAGACAGACTGTGGCTTCACCTATGTCCCAGTGGGTGAATCAGGGCAGTTTGCAAACTCCCAGGATGCTCACATGCCATTTGGCTACTGTCAGCCCAGCAGATTCCCAGCCTAGAAAGTGAGTGAGTGACAAGGCAATTCCAGGACCTCTGAGAGCATCTGCCCCCTTGAAAACTGCTTGATGCAAGCCTGGGCTCACACCAGGCACCAGGGGCCACAGCTTCACGTAACGAGGGTCTACCTTACTGGGCAGGCAGGGGAGCTCAGGGCACAGAAGCCACAATTGCCAGAGATGCTACTTTTACTCCTAGGCAACCAACACATGTGTTTTACTTCTTTTTTAAACTTTTTAAAGAATAAAATTTTAAACCCCTAATGATGGCCATTTTCAAGAAACAGAATATAATCTATTTCAACTACATTTAGGGTGTTGCCCACCCATTTCTACATGCTAAAAAATTTTTCTTTTAATCTGGAGAATTTTGTACCCCTCCATGAAGTTAAAAATTTTTTTAATTTAGCTTAAATTAATTTAAAATTTCTAGTCTCTTAAAAAAATAAATATTAGAGTTAAGATAAGCATAAAATTTTAAGTCCCCGAAATAAACAGATTATTCATTTTTGTGATTAAAGAAATTTCTTTTTGAATAATGCATTTTAACAGAGAATGTAGAATTAAAGACAAAAATACAGAGTTAAAGACAAAAATACAGAACACAGTAAAAACAGACTGTAAACACGCATACTGTTTAACTATACCGTTCAAACTCCAGCTTGCATCTGTTTTTTCTGTTTTAACAGAAACAATAAAGATGTGAAACCCATCTCTTTGTGTTTTGGCTACAACATCCTGAAACAGGAAAAAAAATCCTTTAAGTTATTTTTTAAAATTGCTTTACAAGATATAGCTAAACAACTGTTCACCATGTTTTAAATCAACTGTTAAGAATCGAACTGGGGGGACTTCCCTGGCAGTCCAGTGGTTAAGAATCCACTTTCGATGCAGGGGACGCAGGTCTGATCCCTGGTCGGGATTCCACATGCCAGCAGCAACCAAGCCTCTGTGCTGCAACTACTGAGCCTCTGCACTCCAGCGCCTGTGCTCCGCAACAAGAGAAGCCTAAGCGCCACAACTAGAAAGACTGCATGTTGCAGCAAAGAACCCTGGCACCATAAGGCAGACCCAGTGCAGCTAAAAAAAAGGAACTGGCTCCTTACACACACACACACACACACACACACACACACACACACACACACACACACACACATAAAAGGAGAGGCAGGCTGTAGAAGGATAGTGGGGAGTAGAAGCATTTCCTCCATTTTTTTTAAACCACCATCCTTCCAGACCCAAAGGATGGAGGAGGGAAAAAGCCTTTCCACTTGCCAATATTTTCTACTTCTTATATTTCTACAGGTTTCCTCTTAAAGCTACCATTCTATATTTAGTATTACCTTTCAAGTAGTTTTTCTAATATCATCAAGCATTTGGTTTTAAAATGTGTGTGTTTTAAAACTGAACAGGGGAAGAAAGATGTCATATAACATGATTGAAAATGACTCAGATACAGTATATAGGCTAAAACAGGGGTCCTCAACTGCCCGGGCCACAGAGCAGTACCAATCTGTGGGCTGTTAGGACTGGGCCACACAGTAGGAGGTAAGCGGTGGGCGAGTGAGCAAAGCTTTCTGTATTTACAGCTGTTCCCCATCGCTGACATTACTGCCTGAGCTCTGACTGGCAGATCAGTGGTGGCATATAAATGCAATGTCCTTGGGTCATCCTGAAACCATGCCCCACCCCTGGTCCATGGACAAACTGTCTTCCACGAAACCAGTCCCTGGTACCAAAAAGGTTAGGGACTGCTGGGCTAAGCTATTTAAATTAAATGCCTGCTGGGCACTCTGTTGCGAGAGTTCAGACCCACTGAGAAGCTGACCCGGCCGCCTGGGAACTGCCTGGGACCCTCCAACACCCCCATGTAGTTGGACCAAACTTTTCACACGCCTCCTTCCTGAGCACTTCCTAGTCTTCCCTGTCATTTCCTCCTCCTCCACCTGCGACAGCATGTGTACAAAGCAGAGCTGGCTCAGCACCACTGCAGACTGAACGCCTTTCCACCATCAGACTGTTCCGTAAGGTGGCTGCAGAAGACCATGCAAGCAGACGGTCCTGGTCTAAAAGCAAGCCTCAAGGTCTCCTGAGTCTGTTTTCGGCTCCTACACTCAACTCTCTGTAACCCTCTCAACCTCTTAGTCTCCTGACTTTAATAATGCCCCCCGATTCTAAATTTTTCCTCCACCTGGTGCTACATCGCAGTTTCTGTCTCTTTGTTTCCCTAAAGACGATACCGACTAGCCCACTGCTGCGCTAAGGCATGTGACCGGGGGATTTTATTTTTTAAAGTAAAGGAAGACTACATAGAAGTTACGCTTAAATTATAGCTTTAAACAGATTTTTTAAACAAAGAAACAAGTATGTACAAAATTCACACAGACATGTGTAACAAAATACACTGTTTTAAATTACATTTCTTTTTTTCTTTCCTAATTTTACTCACCCTACTTAAGATCATGAGTATCTATCTATCCATCAGCAGATTCTGCTCAATCTTACTCTAACTTGTATACATTTGATTTAAAGGCAAAGAAAGTGACTTACTGTTGATTCTTCCTGGTTTGAAACATTTCCGGTATTTGATATTAGTTGTTTATTCTGGAAAAAAAGAACAAAATAATTCCATTTTATACTGTTGCATTTCCTAAGGAAAAATAGTTCTAACAAATTGAGGGCAAAAAAAAAAGCTGTTACAAAAAAAGTAAAGATTTGAAGGCCGAACACCAGAGAACAAAGCTCACTGTGCGCTTGCGACAAAAGCCTACGCTTGAAAAATGACTTTCTGCCCCAGGGCAGTGTTCCATTGGCAGACACAGCCTCACTACCCAGGGATGATCACTACTAACATTCTGGAGCCTAGTCTCCAGGTTTAGTGCACAGAGGAGAGTTCAGGTGTGTTAAATGCTGGAGAGCTGACAGACCTTCAGTAAGAGCAACAGACGTGGGATCTAATGACATGGAGGTCACTGATAGCCTTGACTAGAGCTATTATGATGGGGTGAGGCTGGCAAAGACCCGACTGGGGTGGGCAGAAGAGAGAGGGATGCAGTGACAGCAGATCATGAAAGGATGATAAAAAGATCCTCTTTAAGGATGCTGCTGCACAGGGTACAAAGGCATGAAACAGTGGTACCAATCTCACTTACTATGTACTGCCACACACAGAACTAAACCTAAAAACTGATGAGTTAAGACCTTTCTTTATCACAATACTGGTGAAACAGAAGTTAAATAGATACTTATATTCACTGGGAAACAAATACATCTGATCTCAACACAGAGAGACAGATACTCACATTCAATGGGGGAAACACCTGTAAATCACTGCTGCACTCTACATTTTCATTTTTTGTTGTCCAGCATTCACTGTTCTTGAAATAATGAGCACAAAAGTCTTCAGTGACCTGAAGTTCATGTTTCTGTGACAGCTCCTATGCAAGGTAAAGTTCTATGTCATAATTTATTTTCACTTAGTATCTAAACAATACCAAAAATTTACTTTGTTTGGAACACTTGAAGCATTCAGTAGAACAAAATACCAAAAAGAAAAAAAGCTTTGCATATAATTTTGCGTATAATACTTTGTCCTGAGATTACTTTCATTCTACTCCATGTATAAAGGATTTTAGAGAAAGCAGCAGTATTCAATTACAAGGAAAGATAAACCAAACACATACTAACATAAAGCAAAGATGGCAAAACCCAAGTGAGTGCAGGGGAAATTTCATTTACACATCAACTAACAATGAGGTTCCAGGCTCCTGGGTGGATAAATAAAACCAGGCTCCTAATGGCAGCTCCAGGGTATCAAGAAAAGATTAAGAGGCTTTCACTGGCCAAATGGAAGGCCATGGACATGAGTTTAAACAGACTCTGGGAGATGGAGACGAACAGGGAGGCCTGGCGTGCTGCAGTTGATGGGGTCACAGAGTCGGACACGACTGAGCGACGACCACTGGCCAAATATGGGACAACGTGAGCAAAATACATAAAAACAGTTAAGAGATCATAACCCACCCGACAAACTAAACATCAGCGAGTCCATCTTGACAACTGACTGACTAACAGATAAGGTAAAGGAAAAGAGAGAGTGCATTCTGATAGCAGGCTGCTAGTAAATGTGGAAGAAAACATGGAATTAAAGAGAATCACCATTTAGCAGTCATCCTGTGTGTCAGGGCTAAGTCGATTCGGTCATGTCTGACTCTTTATGACCCTATGAACTGGAGCCCACCAGACTCCTCCGTCCATGGGATTCTCCAGGCAAGAACACTGGACGGGGCTGCCCTTCCCTTCTCCAGGGAACCCTCCTGACCCAGGGTTCGAACCTGCACCTCTTACAGCTGCCTGCACTGTCCACTGGGCTATTTACCGCCAGCACCACCTGGGAAGCCCCAGCAATCACCACAGTAACAACTAATCAATCAGGCAAGAACCAAAGAGCATTAAGCAAGGACTGGTGGAAAAAACAGGATATTTACACGTAAATACAAAAGTATTTCTTCACAAATTATTGTTAACAACAGAGAGAAAAGTAGCAGCTTTACAGTGGAAAACTGACAGAAACTTCCTTAACTGACTGAGCAAATTAATATCATCAAAAATGGGACAAAACAGTATATTTTCTAGTGCGTGCATGCTTAGTCGCTTCAGCCGTGTCTGACTCTTTGTGACCCCATGGACAGTAGCCTGCCAGGCTCCTCTATCCATGAGATTCTCCAGGCAAGAATACTGGAGTGGGTTGCCATTTCCTTCTCCAGGGTATGGTATGTCTGACAAAAATATAACCTGAATTTATTCATGAGAAAATGTGAGAAACACTCAAATTGAGGGACATTTTATAAAAATAAATCAGTTGTACATATCAATGTCATGTCATGAATGACAGCTGCCCCCCTCTCCCCCCCCCAAAAAAAAACCCTGCAGAAATACAATGTGATCCTGGATTGGATTCTGTATCAGAAAAAAGGAAAAAAAAAAGCTGCTAAAAAGGACATTCTTGGGACTCTGGCAAAATCTGAATAAGATTTGTTTATCAGCTAATAGGGTAGTATCAACATTAGATGTCCTAAATCTGATGTCTATGCAATCTACGTGAATATTTTTGTGATTTCCTTAGGAAGCACACACTGACCTAGGCTGGCCTCTTTTTTCTCCTTTCACACTTTCCCGTCTCCCTCCTCTCTCACTGATGAGATCTACTCATACTCATGAAATCTGTTCATCTGCACTAAAGCCCTAGGTCCCCTGCTACTCATTTTCTGAATGGATGAAATTTTTACATTTCTTCTTTAAATTAAGTTGGTTTTTATTTATGTATGATTCACAGTCCCTTTATCAATGGTTCCTATAACTCTGATTTAAATAATTACTAATGTTTTTCATAAGATACAAGGAAACTGATAGATTTGTATACTTAGAAAGCATATATTTTGACATAATTAAAGCATTTATTGTTAAGTCCCAAAATAAATCTGTGGCACTTCTAAAAATACAGTCTCTATTTCTAGACTCCTCACTTGATGAGCAAAAAAATCTTTATACTCTGTAATTTTTCCTTCATAGCTTTACACTCATTTAAAGTTTGTGTCTGACTTACTTCCAGCTCAGAATATTCACTGTGACAGGTATGGCGCTCCAAGTGCCACTCGATGGAAAACTTCACAGGCCCGGGGCAGTTGAATGACTTCACTGGCGAGAAAAGACAGGCTCACTTTATATTGACAATGTTGTAAATGATATCATACACCCACCTCGATTTAAATTTCAGGTTTCAAAAATTCAACTTAAAATAGGCTACCTTAAGGAAACAATGAGTAAAATGTTACCCCATTCCTCCAAAAAGTCACCGCAGAATGAGACAGATAAGTTCATTACACTAAATTATCACAGTGAACCAAATGTTGCTGTAAGACTAGTCATTTCATCTATAAGTTAAGTCCAGTGTTAAAATAAACTGAGTAATCGGATATGCTCAGTCACTGTTTATCTCACTCTGAAATGTTCTCTTCACTGACTTATCCACCCAAGAAGTACTGAGTAAGTAGCCCTTGTGTGCCAGGAAGAAACATAATGGTAAACTAGAATAATCCTTGGATGCCTGACAAAAGAGGAATTAGGGGAAAGGAGGGTTAACAGTTAAACAGGCACCTTTGACGGCGGAAGAGGCTGAGAACAGGGGATCAAGCGAGCCCTGGGCAAGGTGCCTGAGATAGTCACGCGGGCGTGAAGAATGGGGCCCCAGCAGGCTCATGAAGAAAGAATAGAAGTCTGCCCAGTGAAGAGGGTGGACAGACAGGAGAAGCAAAGGCCCAGGAGGCATGAGGGCAAGGCAGAAGTATGACCGCCTGCGGCAGTTTGCTAAGGAGTGCAGGGTCACCTATGGGAAAGCCTGATGTCTGACCCACCAAACAGCATAGACGCAAGTCCAAGGGACCAATGCTTAACTTCGCAGGCACTAAAATTTCACTTTGTGAGAAGTCAGAGATGCTGTCTCCTCTTTTGCACTACAGCTGTACATGTACAAACCCAAATACCCAATTGCTCACTTAAAATAAATAGTTAACTATAAAGTAGACATGTCATGATCGACTAACTCTCTTCAACAAGCCTTCCTGGATGCCCAGTGTGATGAGAAGGCTGCCTGGTGAGCACGGCAGCAGAACAAGGAGGCTCAGGTGCCGCATCCACCCCTGCCAGCCACCTGTCAGAGCCTCGGTCATGGCTCAAGAAAGACCTCTCGCCCACCAGCGCTGAGGCACTGCCGGCTTTCCACTTTTTAAAAGTGCTTTTGTTCCCGACTCCCCCCGCTGCCTCACTCTTCCCCCGTTAGGGATGTGGACACTGGACCGTGGCCCACTGAGAGGCTGCTCCCGCACATTCACACTGTGCTGCACGCTCGCTCAGGCATGTCACTCCCTGCGCCCCCACGGACTGCATATCCCCAAACGTTAGCCCTGGCAACCAGCTGACCTAGTCAACTTCCTGGAAACACTAGGAGGAATGAGAGCCCAGTAGACCCACTGAGTTTACCGTAAAACACTGAGATCCAGTGTAAGCCACCTGCTGTTACTTAGTCCCTAAGTCGTCTCCAGCTCTGCAGCTCCACGGACTGCAGCCCCCCAGGCTCCTCTGTCCATGGGGTTCTCCAGGCAAGAATAGTGGAGTGGTTGCCATTTCCACCTCCAGGGGATCTTCCCCACCCAGGGATCAAAGCCGCATCTCCTGCATCGATAGGCAGGTTCTTCACTGCTGAGCCACTAGAGAAGGCTGGAAACCCACTAAACTGACTGAAAACCTCCCCGTCTATGACTTGTTAGTCATGACATACCGGTATTCAGACAGAGTCCCGAGCAGTACTTTCGCTTTCATAAGCCCTAAAATCCTAATTAAAATATCAGTGTCTAATAATTTTTATTTCATACTATAATCATGTATATTTAGACAGATTTCAGAGGCACAAAGGTTTCATCACAATCATGGCATTTCCTATATCCATAAAAAAATGTATTATACTTTAAAAGGGATTCAAAGTCAAATTTCACAGAAGTGAAATACTTTTTTGCTGAAGATTCCTTTATTAGGCTGTAACTATAATTTTTAAAGAATGATTCATATTTCATTTTCTGAGACAAGATTAGAAAAATCCATTCTTGAAAATAACTACAATTTGACTAGATCAAGAGAGACTCTGAAAATGTTATAATCACCTAAAAACATCTGCCTAGTTTAAAACACATAATATTATACTGTGTCCTGTTAGTTTATATTATGCTAATATATTAGCTTATATTATATGTTGCTTACTTATAATTTATTGTTACTTCAGTATTATATTAGATTATTATACTTACCAGAAAACTTGATCTCAGTAGAGTTAAACATGGTTTTCCTAAATATCAAAGGTCCTGATTTCTGTAACGAGAAACAAAGAAATACAGAAAGATCTTGTTAGGGACATCCCTCGTGGTCCAGTGGCTAGGATTCCCTGCTCCCCAAGCTGGGGGCCAGGTTTGATCCCTGGTCAGAAAACTAGATCCCACATCTAACTAGTAACTAGCTAACTAGCCACAACTAATATCCGGTGCAGCCAAATTAAGAAATAAATATACTGGACTTCCCTGGTGGTAAGCGGTAAGAACCCAGCTGCCAGTGCAGGAGCCCTGGTTTGATCCCTGATCTGGGAAGATTGCACTATGCCGCAGAACCACGAGGCCCGGGTGCCACTAGCGCCCACTCGCCCAGAGCCCATGCTCTGCAACGAGAAGCCGCCGCAATGAGAAGCCCACGCACTGCAACTAGAGAGTAGCCCCTACTCGCTGCAACTGGAGAAAACTCGCGCACAGCAACGAAGATTCACCGCAGCCAAAATATATATATATAAATACGTATTTTAAAAAACTAATAAAGAAAAACCTTGTTAAAACATTTCTCTCTACTGTTTAAAAGTACTGTTGTATTCTGGAAAATAGGCTAAGCACCAAATAACGGATGTTTTTGAATTGTGCTGCTGGAGAATATTGTTGAGAGTCCCTTGGACTGCAAGACTGAACCATGAATCCTAAAGGAATCAACCCTGAGTATTCACTGGGAGGACTGATGCTAAAGCTGAAGTTCTAATCCTTTGGCCCTCTGACGCGAAGAGCCAAGTCACTGGAAAAGACCCTGATGTTGGGAAAGATTGAAGGCAAAAGAAGAAGAGGATGACAAAGGATGAGATGGTTGGATGGCATCACTGACTCAATGGACATGATCTGAGCACACTCTGGGGATGGTGAAGGACAGAGAAGCCTGTGTGCTGCAGCCGATGGGGTCACAAAGAGTCAGACACGACCTAGCGACCGAACAACAATCCTTCCACTCCTCCCTGTGACCACATCAATTATTATTTTTTAATATAAGTCTGGGACTTTCCTGGTGGTCCAGTGGTTAAGACAACATGCTTCCAATGCGGACGGCACAGGTTTGATCCCTGGTGGGGGAACTAAGATCCCACACGCTGTGTGGTCAAAAAGAGGAAAAACAAAGCAACCCATAAACCTGGTCCCATCACTGCCTGGCTTAGAGCCTTGTCCCATGTGACCTACTCCCTGCAGCGGACGTGAGGCCCCACAAGGCTCACAGCCTGGGGCCAGCAGGACACAGGAGCCGAGGGAGGGCTGCGTGTCTGTGCGTCTGCGTCTGCTCTCCTGGCATCAACATAAACGCACCTTTGATGAAACTGCTGGCCTCTCTCTGAGCTGTGGCATACCACCCTCTCTGTGTGCGCTCAGTCATGTCTGACTCTTCGACGCTCCATGGACTGTGGGCCACCAGGCCCCTCTGTCTATGGGATTTCCCACCCAATAAGGAAGCGGGTTGCCATTTCCTTCTCCAAGACTTCCCGATCCAGGGATCGAACTTGCGTTTCTTGCATCTCCTGTGCTGGCAGGCAGATTCTTTACCACTGCGCTATACCACAAGACAGGTGGGCGGACCACCTGTCTTGTACCTTTCCCTCCAGTCCTCAAAAACATAATGCTCCTTCCAGCCCTCAGGACCTTAGTGGTCAACCTGAAAACTTACATGAAAATTTACTCTTCCTCTAGTTATTTCCTTCTGACCCCTGAACGCCCAGTTCAAAATCCCCTTCCTCGGGGCATCTTCCACCAGGGCCCATACCAGGCTGGCCCCCCCTTCCAAGGTTTGTGGGACCCATTCCTCACATCCCTTACCACAACTACGATGAAATCTTATACTAGCTAGTATTTCATGTCTGCCCTCAGTCAGTTTAGTCACTCAGTCATGTCCAACTCGTTGCAACACCATGGACTGCAGCATGCCAGTCTTCCCAGTCCATCACCAACTCCTGGAGTTTGCTCAAACTCATGTCCATTGAGTCAGTGATGCCATCCAACCATCTCATCCTCTGTCGTCCCCTTCTCCTTCTGCCTTCAATCTTTCCCAGCATCAGGTTCTTCACATCAGGTAGCCAAAGTACTGGTGTTTCAGCTTCAGTATCAGTCCTTCCACTGAATATTCAGGACTAATTTCCTTTAGGATTGACTGGTTTGATCCATGTCTGCCCTCCCCAAGAATAAAAATTCTGCGAGAAGAGATTAAGTTAAGCGAACAAGTGGTTAGGAATTACAGGAAAACCCTGACAGGAGGAATGGTTCTTTCTTGATAACCCTTTTCCCTCCCTGACGGTTTTTTCAAGATTTTTTTTTTTTAATGCAGATCATTCTTTTTTAAAGTCTTTACTGAATTTGCTACAATATTGCTTCTGTTTTATCTTTTGGGTTTTTGTCCTTGAGGCATGTAGGATCTTAACTCCCCAACCAGGAATCAAACCTACACCCCGTGCATTAGAAGGTTCACTCTTAACCACTGGACCACCAAAGAAATCCCATCCCTCCTCAACAGTTTCAACATCAATAAATCCCTGGTCCAGATCCCTCCTCTGAGCTGCACGTCCACATACCCAATTACCTCAAGGTCATGCCCTCTGGGATGTCCACTACTGTCCACAGTCCCCTGCACTAAACCAGACGCCTCCCCCTCTGCTCCTCACCAGCTATTCCTGTGCTGACCAGCTTGGCTGTATGCAGGTTATGCCACCCCCTATCACTCAAGCCATAGTTCCTTCTGGTCTCTCACCTCCATCACCCCATCTCCAAGGCACGCCTACTTCATCTCACAGACACTTCTCAGATTTAGCCCTTTCTCTCCATCCCTGCAGGGCTTCCCTGGTGGCTCAGTGGTAAAGAATCCACCTGCCAATGCAGGAGATGTGGGTTCAGTCCCTGCGTTGGGAAGGCCCCCCAGAGGAGGAAATGGCAACCCACTCCAGTATTCTTGCCTGGAAAATCCCATGGACAGAGGAGCCTGAAAGACTTCAGTCCATGGGGGCCACAAAGAGTCAGTCATGGCTGAGTGACAAAGCAAACACCCACTCTATTCCTGCCGCCACTGGCCTGATTCAAGCCTACACTTACTGGTGCCTCCACTCAGACTGGAGCCTACAATTCATCCTCAGATAACAGCCACCGTGATTAGCAGGAATGTCTAAAACTCTTCCATGGCTTGCTCTCATTCACACTCCCAAGTTGCTACTGGTGGCCAACATATAAATTCGACCTACAAAATGGATTCTGTTGGGCCCACAAGGAGCCTTTTAAAACTTTTCTGAATTAGTTGACATAGTAAAAATATATGAACTTCCCTGGAGGTCCAGAGGTTAAGATTCTGCACTTTCCCTGCAGGGAGTGAGGGGTTGACACCTGGTTGGGGAACTAAGATCCCACACGCTGTGCGGTGCAGCCAAAAAAGATAAAAATGTGTCGACCACCCTATAGCATCCACAGCCAGAGCTGAATGGCAAGCGCCCTCTTCAGCAATGGCATGTCATGTGCAGTTCACAGCATTACCCACCAGCCCCAAACCTACTTTGCTTCACTCACGACAGGACTTGCCTCAGCCCCCACAGGTCCTTGAGTTTGAGACCCCTGGCCACAGGCTCAAGGCCAAGCTCAGGGATGGAAGGCTTACAGTGGTCCAATTCCAACTAACACTCCTGCCTTCAGTCAGCAGACTCACCAAGAGTTTCTACACGGCTGCTGTTATACTCGCCACCTCCTCTTCATCTACGCATCCTTTCAGAGTCAGCCGGGCACCAACTCCAAAAAGCGGGGTTAGGTGATTTCCTCAGTGCTCCAGTAATATCCCAAGAATGCCACAGTGTGTGTATTTACTACCCACGAATCTGCTTTCCCTACCACTGTGTGAGCTTCTTGAGAGAGGCAGTTGTGTCTAAAATACATCCTTCCAACAGCGATGGCCAATGTAGTGCATGGCACATGGTAGGCAGGCACTTAAACTGCTGACCTTTACAATCGAAAGAACCATTTCTGGAAGAATTTGCAGGACAAATGAAAGAAAACTACACTTTCCTTTCCTGTTCTCCACAAGTCTTGACAATCTGAAATAGGGGAGGGGAAGAAAAATCAGCCTACCCTTTGCAAAAAGCTTTATGGATTGCTACTGTTCTGAATGACACAGGGCTAAAGATCACCTGGGGCTTCCCTAGAGGCTCAGCGGTAAAAAATCCACATACCAATCCAAGAGACATGGGTTCGATCCCTGGGTCAGGAAGATCCCCTGGAGAAGGAAATGATAATCCACTCTAGTATCCTTGCCTGGGAAACCCCATGGACAGGGGAGCCTAGGGGGTTACAGTCCATGGGATTAGAAAAGAGGATCACATGACTTAGCGACTAAACAACAAAAATAAAGATTATGTGGGATCCAAAGAAAAATTTTCTTTCTCACACAAGAAGCAAAGTTATTTTCTCCCCATGGCTTTAGGAATCTCCCTATCCAAAGTGTACTTGGCAAAGATCTTGACAGATATGGTGAAGGAGTCTGTTTGCAGCCAATTTACTTCCAATTTATTCTGATTTAGTTTATGCTATTACCCATTCACTACAGAAGCAGCAGGAAACCTTAAGTGTAGTTCTCTGTGAAGGAAAGTTACTTGGCTCAAAATAGCTCAAAATAGCCAAGTAACCTGGAGTTAAAACTCCCCTCCAGGTCCTCCCCACCGTTCTATGCAAAACAAAGAACTCTCTCACCTGAAGGAAAAAAATGGACATTAAGGTTGATTACGCCCAGCTCCCAGCCAGTCCAGCCTTTGGCTGATCTCCAGAATTCCTTGCCCCAGCCGTTTAAGAGATAACTACTCTGAAAAACCTTGGAGAAGAACAGGCCCCCTTAAGACAGTAGCTTTCCACATACATGCCTACATATGCTTACTCTTTTCTTGGGTCAGTGCAGCAGCTCGCTAATCTGACTGCTGCCCCTTCTCGCCTCATTAAAGGTGATCTATTCCTGTAACGTGCAGGTCTTCTTTTTCTGAACCTCGCCTTCCCTAACTCCCTTACCTTACACTCTGAATTTTGCTTTTTACTGTTCAGAGAAATTCAATAATGGAGATACGCAGGGCCTATGACTGGTACACAAAATAGGGCACCAACCCAGAAGAATCCTGGAAGAAATGGTTGCACTGGGTCTTAAAGATTCAGAAAGATAAGCACTCTAGCCTCTGTGTAGCTTTTGTGCTATAGGAAGAATTTGTAGTCTCCTACACTACTTTCTTTTTCTGATTGAAGAAATCAAAACGTAAGTTTTGCCTTTAGAATTCGGACATCCAGACTTCCCAGGTGGTCCAGAGATTAACAATCTGCCTGCCAATGCAGGCGACACGGGTTGGCTCCCTGGTCCGGGAAAATCCCGTACGCTGTAGGCTCACCACAACCACTGAGGCTCCAGTCCTAGAGACCCTGCTCCACGGCAAGAGAAGCCTCTGCAGTGAGAGGCCTGAGCACCTCAAATAGAAGCAGTCCCCTCTCACAGCAAACAGAGAAAACCCACAGGCAGCAAGGAAGACCCAGCGCAGCCAGAAATAAAAATAATAAAAAGAATTCAGACATCGCTTCTATACATGTGGAAAATATTCATCTCAAACAGAGATGGATGAATCATCTGACTCTAGAAGAGCGGTAGGTAAGGCCTTTTCGATTTCCTGTCCTTCTTTAGCAAATCTTTCCAAAATTCTACCCCGGCATTCATCCCACAACATGAGACATGAAACTACCGGATGTTAAGTTCTCAAATGGCCTGCCCTGGAAAGGAAGACACGGGCTCAAGTCTCCGGACTAGCCTTGCAAATGTCCTTTAATTACACATACTCCCAGAACTATGACAGGAGCCCGACAGAAATTCAGAAACCCACAAGAGGGAAAGGCAGCGGCATGACTATTGCCTGTTCCCTTCTGGAAGGAAGGAAGAAGGAAGAAAAAGGGAGGGAGGGAAGAAGAAAGAGAGGAATAAAGACGAACACGCTTTATAAATGTATACGGAAACTGAAACCCTGGAAAGTCCTTCCTGTGGCCACGCAGGTGTGGCCCTGTGGCTGCACCCCGGCATGAGGAGGGGTCAAATCCAAAGATGCCGCTAGGAGTGCCGAGGGGTTCAGGGCTCAGTTCAGTCGCTCAGTCGTGTCCGACTCAGGGCTCAGGTCTGAATAAAGAAGGGCCTGATCTAGCCAGAGCCTGTCCGAGCAGAGCGAGGCCAGGACTTCGGGAAAGGTGATTTTCACTAACAGGGTTCAGAAGGGAGAGCCGCCCCCCTGCACAGAAGTCTGACTCATCTTCCCCAAAGGCCAGGTCTGACCGAAGGAGGGGGCGCTCCCTGCCCACAGCGGACAAAAGGCCCAGGAAACCCATCGGGCGCCCAGACTTGGCCAGATGAACAAGCCCGGGACTGGCTCCCAGCGGGCCCCAGAGAACCCCGCGGGCCTGAGATGCGCCTCGCCTCGGTCCCGACATTCCGCTTACGTCACTGATCGTCGCGGTCCAGAGCCCGATCTCGGGGACGGCGCCCACAGCCGCCGGGCCGCAGCACAGGAGGCAGAGGGCGAGGCGCAGCAGCGGGCGCCGGGCGGTAAGACTGCGGCGGGGCGGGAGCCAGACAGCGTCGCGGCAGACGGCAGCCATCTTTACGCGGAAGCCGCACCTGGCGCTCCGCCACACCGCGAGCCCGCACCTGGTGCAGGCCCGCCCCGGGAGGCGGGCTCGGGCCCAGGAAGTATGGATAGGACGTGGAGGCGGGGCTCAGGGCTGGCCGGGGCGGAGAGTAGGAGCGGGGGCCGGAGCAGTAAGAGTAGAGGAGGGGGGCGGGGGTGGNGGTTGGGGGCCAGAGCCTGAAGAGTGAGGGGGAGGGACGGGGTGGGGGGTTCCGAGCGTGGAGGTGGGGCCAGGCGGGGAGGCGGGGCCCAGAGGGGAGGCGAGGGGCGGGGCCCCTCGGCGTTGGGCCTCTGTGTGAAAGCGGGGCGGCAGGGGAGGCGGGGCTCTGAACCAGGCTCGTGTGGAGGCGGGGCTCAGGAGAGGAAGCGAAGGCCGGGGCTCAGGGCTGGCCGGGGCGTGGAGCTTGAGGTGGGGCAAGAGCGTGGAAAGAAAAAGGGGCGGGGAGGAAGGCGGGTCCAAATATGAAGAGGCGGGGCGGGGCAGGGAGAGAGCCGGCAGAGGAGGCGAGGGGAGGCGCTCAGCTTTGGGCCGGAGTGTGGAAGCGGGTGGGAGGGGAGGCGGGGTTCTGAACGTACCTGAGCTGGAGGTGGCTTTAGCCAGAGGCCGAAAGCTCAGGTCCCAGACTCCACGTGGTTGTGGTCGGAGGCTTTTGTTGTTGTTCAGGCGCCCAGTCGTGTCCAGACTCTTTCCGATCCAATGGACTGCAGCAGGCCAAGCCTCCCTGTCCCT